TTTCGCCGGTAATTACAACCAGCCTCATCAGGCGACAGCTAGAGACGCCTACATGTTAAATTGGTTAATAAACATGTCCCGTGCGACAGAGGATTGTTTAAATTAAGACAGAATGTGTGGTGTGTGTGTCCCATGGTAACAAAGGACACACACGTAGAAGAAGTGGCAGCGTAGTGGTTAGCGCACTGCACTACGAACCTGATGTCCAAAGTTGAATTGGTGATAATGGATAAAATCAGGACCGATTATCTGACCGGCCCTAGGCCTCTCCCCCCCCCCCACCCCCCGCCAAGGTCAATTCAACGATAAACTAGGAACATGGCACAGTGTGTAAACATCAGCACTGGGGAGACAAAGGAGGCCGGACGTGTTCCTGGTCACACCACGCCTTCGGAGGTGCTCACTAACAGCAGTTGCCCCAACAGTTTGTGAAGCTCTGAAATGCCAAGTACTAAGTGCGTAAAATTTGACCCAGTTACTCCCTAATCGATCACACAAATCAATTGCTGCACACGTCAGTGGAGCAAGTGTCAATCGAGTTCAAGGCACTCAATTTGATCGTCTTCTGTACCCGCTGGCCGAGCTCAAACACAATCAATCTGCAGTGCACGTTGTAAGCGGAGACTGGAAACAAACGGAAGGGCTATACAAAGAGCTGAATCAGCTCAGTGGAGTCAACAGGCCCGGGGTGCTGGGAGGTTAGGTGGTGAGCTAATAAGAGTCCAATTGAATAATGCTGAGTTACACAAGGCTGTCCAAAAATAGGACACTTGGGAGAATGATACAGCACATGCTGAACTATGAACATATTGGTAATGTCATTTACTCGTAGTAATGTGCAGTATTTACTAAGGAAAGCCTTACCGAGTCAAAACTCATTTTACAGAGAGGACTCCGTAGTGCCGCTGTGGTTGGGCATTGCGACATGAACTCTGCAACCCAAGTTCGATTCCCGGCCATGGCTAACATCAGGGAAGAGTGAAATCTCAACCGATCTTGGGCCATCTCTTCAAGTTTATTTGTTTAACCAGCTAAGAACTCAAGAAAACAGGATCATATTAAATTTTGATTTAAAGCTTTCGTGACTGCAGTAATTATTATTTTATTGTTTCCCTTCAACGTGACTTTACCGAAAGAGCTAAGAATAGGATCATATTAATTGCAAGAGTGACCTGGGTCGCCAAATTGATAAAAATAAATCAAATATAAATCAGCATTGTACAGCAATTTGACCAAACCGCAGCACACACTGTGAACCACTGCCAGCATTCAGTCTCACCTGGAGCCATCACGTGGATTTCAAACCGGGGATAGAGATCTTTGAGTTACTATTCACCAAGTCATACCCAAGAATAAGTACAGTATTACAATGATGCAAAGAGAAACTGAACCTGCACTGAACAGCATGGTGACCGACATGGCATGGGAAGGCCCTCATCCAGCAGTGGATTAACAGAGTGCTGTGCACTGAATGGGCACTCTGCGGACGTTGGCACCTTTCCAGTCACTCGTCAAGACCCTGTGACGTTGCACGAGCACTGCGGCATAGGCGACAGGGTACAGATAATACAGCGATCTCGGTCAATTTAGGACATTCCCCAAATCTTACCTGTCGCTATCTAAATCGGCCTTTGATAACACTGTATTGTATCATCTTGTGCCGATTATTTAAACGATGCGTTAATATTGTGGTGCCTAAGCCTGGTACTCTGAGCTCTTAAAAATCTACATATGCCGAAGGTCACAGTTAACCGATATCTTCGTTTTTTTTTTACATTTTTTATTATCTCAGTTGAACACAAACCGAAAGGCCCAAATGCCAAGTGGCCAGCAACAATAAAGCACATCTGAAGGTGTAAAAGTTAATATGTTTTTGAGTTAAGAAACGTTGTAGAAAGAACTTGGGAAAAAATATGATGGGAAGGGAACTATAAAGTTGAGCAGTGTGAGGGAATAAGCAGAAAGAGAAGTGTTGTAACCAGGAGTGTGATAGTTATACACAATGTGTGCGGTGAAACATTCAGCCTGGAAGTATTATGCAGAACTTCTTGTGCACCGTTCGTAGCCAACTATGCCGACGCAGCTGCGTAGACCAAGTCCTCAACAGGGGGAAGAGGAATCAATAAATTAAGTTGATGTGAACTGTAACCATCTTCTTCAAAAACCCGTTTCCTTTCCTCGCTTAAAACCCACATCTTCTCCCGACCATGCTCCCGCTCCTCCTTGCCCCTGCCACCCAGCTACGACCAGGCCTACCACAAGACCTCCTTAACCTCTCCCCAACTATTCCCCATCACAATAACTACACCATCAGATTTGAATAACCTCCACTCTTTATTTTAACCACTATCATCTTACATACCATTTTATAATTGTTGTCAAGCGCCTTGGAATGAGGCGCTATGTAAATCTGTATTAAGAAGGTAGTAGCGATAGAAGAGTGATACAGAGACAACTGACCACCGGTGGGGCAAGCGAGTGCTGGCTCATCAATCCACTCGACGTTGAACGCTATCTTTATCGACGAAACCGACAAACACAGGCAAGAATTGGTGCCGAATTACAGGCGGGGAAACTTTGTAACAAGAGAGTCCCTCCCAGGTGCAATGTGGTGAGGAAGGAACGCCGTTACGGGGTACACAGTGTACAATGTAAAACATTTTAAACGGTCCACGAGGCATCAAATCAATGCCAAGGCAAGTGACCGAAACACACTGTGACGGGTTCCCAATTGGCCAATTGATATCGGGCAAACCTGCTCTAATTAGTAACATCGGAATATTACTAGCCCACCTATTAAAATATATGTGTGCGCTTATAACACACCTATCACCTCGTGCCGACGATCGAATCCACCTTGAATGTGCCCGACTACGCTGAAACACAGAAGCTAAGGAAGGCTGGGCCCTGGTTCATGGTTAGTGCTTGGATGGGTGACCACCAATGCATACCCTGCATTGTAGGTGAATTTCTGAGGTTTGTCCATGTGCACAGGTTTGAGTGTTATGTCTTTGCACACACTGGCCTTCTCCATTTGCCCTGGGTTATCTACCACATGCCAAACACTAGCAATGGAATTTGCCAAACATCCCAATGCTGGACACTCACAATAAATAATATAATCGTACAACTCCGTGAGGACTTGCTGTGAACATATAATTGGTATTTGTTGACATTATGAACTCATACGTGTTATGCTACCACACATTCTTCGTGCACCATAATGGCAAAGAGAGAATCAATCTGTGAATCCAACCCCGGTTAACGTCCCCAGTAAACACAATCACGCTCACACACGAAGAATATATTTGTGGACGGTGCTGCCATCCCTATACAGCACATTGGTGCCACGCGTATTCTTCTGCATTGTGGCTCGGCTCTATAAATACTGTACTGTAAACTCAATGGACTTGAGACTTCATATGGAGAGACTTCAGGATGACATTGATGAGTGGGGCACAGAAAGCGATCTCCAGAAACCGAGAGTTCAGCGTGGTGTTTAGTCACACAGCCCACGATGCGCGTTTTGTGTTGTTGTTTTTACTCTGAACGTCTCGGCGGATGCTCTTGCGTGCTACTTCAGGACACCGTACACCTCGAGACCTCAGCAGCACCAAGTAAAGACCTAAGGGACGCTCCGAGCAGAAACGCGCGCCTCTGGTCGTCCCCGAACACAAGTAGCTTGTTGGCATGATGAACCTCATTTATAGCCAGGTGAGAGTACATAGGTGTGTTACATATTTTTGTAACAGTTTAACTGCGGACGAGCTCAAATACCGTAATAATATGGTAATGTATATAGTTTACAATGCTCAGCCCTTGTCAATGTACTGCTAGATGATGAAGGATTGCTTAACCGTTACTTCACCAAACTAGGGAGAGCACAACAAAGATTCCTGATATCACTCGCCACTGATGTTAGCCACGGCTGGGAATCTCACTCATGGCACAGCGTACCAACCGCTACACCACGCACTCTAGTGGGGGAGCAATACAAATTTAATCTCTGCGATTTCCCAGACAAAACTGGCTTGGGCATCTGGACAATGGTTCTTTCCAGCCTGTGTCACGGGATCTGTTACGTCCACAGACGTCAGCAGATGGACCACGAACCCCTATGAAGGATGGTGTGCATGTCTTATGTTGCTCTAGAGCATTGCCAGCTGGATTTTATAAAACTTGCGCATTTGTTTTGGCTGCCACGACGGGAGATCAAACCAGCAACTGGTGCATCGCGTGTTAAGCCCAGTGCAGAATTCCGAGCCAATTTAATTTGCCAAGGGCGATGAACGGCACCTGCGCAGAGACCAAATCATTTTCACGTCCAAATTCAATAAAATGAAAGTGCTCCCCGTTGGCAGTGATTCACAAGCACACACTAAAAATACATTGAGGATGGCAGTCAAGTATTTTAAAACTGTACTGAAACATTGAGGTATGGCAGGGGTGGTGTGAACCCAGCTTTTGAACACTCTGCACCAAACTTTGTGGAGGTCCTGCAATCATTGCGCTTCTCACATTTATGTAGTTACCCGCACCTCCGATTAGCACGGTTGGCTACGTACGCCGCAAAATAAGTTCAACACACATGCATAAATGTACAGCTCTTTTGCAATCCATTGCTAGACGAACACCTCCCAACGCTCTGTCTTTTATTGGACGTTTTTTGACAATACTTCAACCAAGCTGCGCTGGTCAGTGCGGTTTGATGGAAGCAGGCGCCCAGGAACGGTTCAGGTGACACTTCACCACTGATTCATCTTCTTTGGTTCTTTCGGTAAAGTCACGTAGAATGAGAATAAAATAAAAAATGAAATTCTCACGACGTTTCATTATTTTTATTCTCATTCTACGTGACTTTACCGAAAGAACCAAAGAAGATGAATCCTTGCAGTCACGAAAGCTTTAAATCGAAATTTAAATGGAAATTCACCACTGATGTTAGCCATGGCTAGGAATCTAACTTAGGCTGCCAGGTTCGTAACGCAGTGCGCGCTTACATCTGCACGCCGCCGCTTCTTCTTCCCGTAATTTCTGCGCCGTGGTGAGAATGAAAACATTCGCTCAGCCCACTGCAGACACATGGACGGCTTCACCCTGCGTCAAGGCTCATTGAAGGACACATCAAGAGAGCATTACTGTACATCCCGTTCTATCCAAAGCAGCAGGGCTGTGTTGCCCTCAAAGGTAGTGTCGCTTGCAGACCTGTAAAGCAGTACTAATGTACTGGCTAAAGAGAACCATGGTGGAAATTCATCAGCTACATCGCGAATGAGCTGATGGAAGGGGCAGATGCTGATTAAAAGTTCTGAAATAAGAGACAAGGGGCTGGATGGGTAATTAAAGGCATATGTCATAGGTGGGTGCAGAAGGCATGGGCAGTGATCATTTCTCAAACCTTGTTTTCAAAAGACTTTCCTCAATGGACTGTTAAAATAAACCTGGTACACGTGTACTGTATATATATACACATACAGGAGATTGCACATGAATACACACTGCGGTATTGCTTACGATATTAAGTGACGTGGCCTTAAGTTGATTTCAGCAGCACTGCGGGGAAGAGGTGGCTGGCTGGTGGTGGAGCATGGGATGACTTTTATCTGGCAGTGGATTAATGGCTAAAGATGATGCCATTTGTGACAAGGATGATGATATACAGCCACATTAGGCAAAGTATTCTCAATACTGTGATTAAAAGCCCATTGCCACGATGCCATTTTCCCGAAAGTGTGTCTGGATCAATGTAAACCCTTGCAGGGAAAACTGCGAATGATGAAATCATGGCCATTGTGTAAGCAGATGGGAGCCTAGTGATGTGGAACATACATGTTAAAATGCAGGTCTTGAAATCGCTCTCGAGTACAGATGGCCACTACATTTATTTTACAATTCATTGATGGTGGGTGAAGTGTGTAGCGTGTATGAAAGGAATCTTTTTCGAGCCAAATATACCACTTATCCCGTGCATAAAGTACTGTACGTTATCCTTTCGCCGATGATGGTCTGGGACGATTAACAAGTGGCGCATGTATAACGATAACATGCTTAATTGTGTCACGATGGATAAAATAACAATAATTCAGGATCCGATATACTGTCGGGCTTATGCATGATTAATCGGTAGGACAATATGGAATGGATCACATGACACGTGCATAACAATGATGACGATCATGATTGACGTCGCTTATTAATTCATCCACAAGAATAATCGTTGACTGGATCGTGGTGGCCACACGGGATGGGTGATCATGAGGACGAGACTCTACTTTGCGCATTCAGCATATCATTAATTGAATAATGCATGTATATAACATGTGGGGTTAAGACGGACACATAACTTTGGAACGAACACACGATCCGAGTTAGACGACGGATCGTTACGAGTACATGAACACGAGGGATACATTACGCGTTCTGAAGATGGCACACTGGGTGAACCGAGCTACGATACGCGTGGACAATGTTTATGACGCGCGACTTACGAACACGACTGCACGCTGGAAACGATCGCAATAGAACACGCGGCCAGATCGAACCGTGGACGTGGACGCGGCACGCATCTACGAACGTACGGCAAACACCCACCGGAATATCACGGCGCGTTATACGATGGGCACACGGGCCTATTAATGAATCACGCGGCACATGGAACAAGTGGATCGTGATGGACACGTGGAACAGATGGTGGATGATACAAAGATCGCCCGCCCTATAGCCTTTTAACAGACTGCGAGGGAGCGCCTAATGACACGTGCGGGTAATGTGTGGGCTCGTTCGCCCCGCCTAACTCACCGCTCTTGCCTCGGCGTATGGGCTCCTTAGCCGGCGCGTCGCTGCCGCAAGGCACCCAAATCTTCTGTAGCCTCGTCTGCGTCAACTCGCGCGGCATTATCAAGGTAAGAGGGAAAACGCGCTCTCGAACCCTTCCGACAAAACAATCTTGCCGTCTGTGTACGTCCTTCCTTACAGCCTCGACGACTCGAAATTAATTCAGTTCACACACCAAGCCCGGTTGTCAAGAGCGCACAAAAAGAGAGCCAGGCCTACGTGGCCACCCCCACCTCCCCGCAACAAAAATAAATGCGTGCTCGCGTATTTAAAACGCACGCACGCGCGCTCTCAGTTTGCCGTTCGAGTTACGGTGGCATTGACCACTGCTGTCGCCCCTTGTGCTGGGTGGACAATTTATAGGGCGAGCGAACGAGCGACCCAATGATGTGGGAGTGGAAGGGGCATGGCCCAAGGCCCCTTTAGGTTGTGCGGACGCCCGGCCCCACGTGGAGGCGACGGGGTGGGGCTGGGCAACGTTGCACGTGCACGGCTCCTGCTCTCGGTACCGTAACGCACGGGCACGCGGCGCACACGTGTGCGCATTTACCGTACTCAACCCCGCCGCCTGCCGGTCACGTTGAACTGCGGTCAAACGCGACCGGCTTAAAGCAAACATAGGCAAAAAAATAAAGTTTAAAAAAAAAATCGAACGCTAACTAATTTTGTTCGGATGAATTAGCAAAAAAAAACCCATTTGGAAGCACTTTAAAAAATATTATTTTGTGAGATATATTTAAAGTGGTACGCACCGAACGCGAGCCGTTTTTGTTTGTTTGTTATTATCGCAACACCGCCACCAACCACCAACTCCCCCCCCCCCTCTCTCGCGTGCTCGATGTGGTACGGTCCGCGTGCCGGGCGTGTGCTCGGGTGACGTCACGCATTGGGAGAAGCGGGAGGCCACGCCCACCGCGTGACGTCACGGCTCCTGCACGGGGTCTGCTCGACGGCCTCCCGACTCCACGTGGCCACGTGGGCTGCTCGTGCTTTGCCTTGGCACCGCAGCGCACGACGTGTTTGCCGCCGTTCGTTGCGGCTTGAGTTGTTTGGCTCGCGTGTTGCTTTTACGGCTTTGTTGACGGTTAAAAATCATGACTCAGCACAGGTGTGTGTGTGTTTTGTATTTTGGTCATGTGCATAGCTTCAACTATTGAAACATAAGCCAATAAAGTGCCAGTTGAGACAAGGCTGTTTTGTAAAAAGACATTTGACAAAGAAATTGTATAAAATGTTCGATATTTTTTTATGTATCATTTAAACTGGCAGTATAACTGTAGTCTTAAGAGCCCAATGATGTATCATTGAGATGGTATTTGATTCACATTGGACGAATAATCCATTACCAGTTCATTGGTAAACAAGATGTAAAAACAATTACGATGCTCAATGAAAATGCATGGTCATTCAAATTTCGCTTGGCTTAGCATCTAAATGCAATCACATTTTAAGGCACTACAAAATCGTGAGCATATTTGATATTTGGCAGTCACAGGTTAAATTTACCAAAAAATAACAAACTGCCCTCTAATTGTCTTAGTGTGGTGGCAGTAATGCACAAATTACAAACATTTGTCAATAACACTGCCTTAAATATATAATAGGCGACGTTTCGGGCTATGGTCCTTCACAGCATATTGGTAAACAAGTGTTAGTGTTTGTTGTTTTCCTCCTAATGGGACCATATAGTAAACAACTCGTCTCCGCTCCTTGAGTGGAGGAATAGCTGAACTGCAAGAACTCTCGTGAAGCCCTCTCGTGGCGAGCAGACCACTCGACATTGGAATTTAGCTCCTGAACATCTTTCATTACGCAAGAACAAAACTATATTCTTGGTTCTTTCGGTAAAGTCACGTAGATAGAAAACAGTATAATGCAATAAAAGTAATCAATTGAAAATAAAAAAACACGATAAATTGTAAAATAGTAAAATAAAATTAAAACTGCTGAAAGTAACACAACAAAATAGCTAAATTCTGTCCTCTAGCGGTCAAATTCTAATGCATTGCATAAAGCTCCAGCAAACAATACAATAAGAGCCTTCAAAATGCAATTAAGCAGGCTTGCCATCACCATTTGTTACTTTCACATCGCAAGACCGCGTGATGATGGCTTCATCCAGCAGTGGATAGACCACGGCCGATGACGAATAGCTATCAACAGGGAATTCCCACCCACTACTTAACAAAGGGGGTTATAGAATTTAAATGTGGGATATTTGCATCTAAAGCGTCTAGTATTTTATTACAGGGATGTTTTATTCAAAGTGAACATACATCCATTGAATTAAACATGTCAACTGGTTTGTCTAAAACGTCAGAGAAACATCGGGTTAGTGTGTTGCTTTGGTCTATATTGAAACTTTTGATTCCTGTCGTTAGATAAAAAAAAACAATACATTCATTCAAAATTATTCGCTAATTCTAATTATAAAAACGTGGCTTTGTGGGAAAAAAACCCCATCTCCACGTGCCCAACCGCGCGTTGAGAATCGATTATATTAGAAACCAAACATGAATCGATTCCACTACACAACTTGACACTCCATAGACCCTTCATGGGCAGCATTAGTATCGATTCCATTGCCGTTTTAAATCGTGGAATCGATTCCTTCACCAACACGTCACCCTTAGCGGGGTCGGCGACAATGGCTGAGATGCGGCAAGAGGAGTCAGCGGCAGTGGTGGAGGAGGAGGTGGTGGAGGTGGGAAGAGACCAAGTGGCTACAGAGCAGCAGACGCGTCACCTGGACCTGGTGTCTGTCTCGGGCCTCACGATGCCCGCTCACGTCGCCGCGTTTGTGGAGAGCGAGTTCGGCGCCGACACCAAGCAGCTGAAGCGCCTGGGCGAGCTGCTGGGCGGCCTGAGCTCGCAGAGGGCCCGGCTCACGGAGCAGGTTGGCAGAACAACGACAAACCCCCAACACCACCATCATACCATCATCATCATACCATCATCACCACACCCCCTTGCGTTTTCGGTGGCCCATCGTTATTAGTAACCCGCCGTAGTCTGCAGAACTACACCGACTCACTCTCGCTTGTCCCTGATGCCCTCACCGTCGCGGCTAGCAGCAGATCTCGACATTTGGCAACTTGTGCCACTGAACTTTATTTATTCGCCATCGTACCCCACGAATAGAATAGCGGGCCCAGAGTGCTCATTGTATCGTAATTCCAAAATACTGCCCTGTATTACACGGTGAGGTAAACAGGACAGTGTCCGGTGTGAGTTAGACGTTTTATTGATGATAGAAAAGACGGTAAAGTTAGGGTCACCTGTGACGTTATAGCGTTTTGGAGACTTCACTGTCGTACATTTAAATACATTGACACTGCTTAGACAGCACGAGTGCTTTGACGGCTGACCATGGCCTATTTTTTTTCTCTCAGTCCCAAAAAATTCAAATTCGGGTCAAACAGCCCAGGAAGCATTCATATCGATGAATGCTTCCCGGGCTGTTTGATGATCGGACACGTGTGAATGTATGTTGAACTTTCTTTCGCACCGTACGTAGCCAACCGTGCCATGTGGAGGCGCGGGGCATGGGTTGGGCAACTGTCGACCACAATAAGTGTTGCGTCCCACCCGTGGGATGCTTCTACAGGTGGCGGCTGCGGCGGCGGCTTTTGGCAGGTCTTCACGCAGCAGTGACAAACGATCGTGGCTGATGATGATGACAATGACCACGACGACGACTGCACACGGTAGGCCCACCGTCGACCAATGAATAACGTGTGCGGGATGTTGGCGCAGGTGGCGACGGCGCGCTTGGAGGTGCCACGCCGTTTGGAGCGGGCCCTGCACGAGGCCGAGGCGGCGGTGGGAGAGTTGGAGGCCCTCCGGGAACGGAGGGAGCGGCTGGCCCATGAAGTGGAGCGACACGTGGAGGAGACTGCGCCGTGTGCCGAGCCAATCGCACGGCTCATCGGGCAGGTGGACGAGTTGGAGGGTTACCTGTCCTACCTCAAGTGGATCTCGCAGATCGAGGAGCTTAGGTGATGAGCCGCTGATGTGTTGTCACTCAATAAACCACACTAGATCACGTACTATAGCGATAAGAATATTTTGATTTAAAGCTTTCGTGACTGCAGGGATTCGTCTTCTTGGTTCTTTCGGTAAAGTCACGTAGAAGGGAAATAATAAAAATAAAACATAATACAATTGTATGTGTTATTTTATCTTTTATTTTTACTATATTATACCCTTTTACGTGACTTTACCGAAAGAACCAAGAAGATAAGAATATTGTTTTGTCCGGTCCTTGTCAATCCATTACTGGATGAATATTCTCTTAGTTGCTGGCTGCTCTGCTTGAATTGAACTATGAGGCCTCTGTTCAGGAACTATAGCTACAAAAATATCTTGCTAATACTGAAATCGTTCTATTAATGACTTGTTCATGTGTGTGTGTGTGTGTGCTTGTGGATTTTTACACTGACTGTTGCCAATGGCATTGTGGCCAACACGCACAGTGACTCGATACAGCAGCACCTGATGACCAACAGCATTGGGGAGGCGCTGGAGAAGCTGGTGTCTATGTCTGAACTGGACCGGGTGCTGCAGCCTTCGTCCTGCACTCACCTGCGCCGCTTCGTGCGATCCACGCTCGTCTTTTGGCATAAGATCCTCCGCGAGAAGCTCACCAAGTGAGGGGCAGAGCTATTACATAATTGAATTAATGTCATGGTTCACTTGGCTGCATAATATAACCCACCAGCCTATGTATATAATGAAAACCTACATAGTCAATACCTGTGTAGGTCACTTCGACTGCCGTACATACATTCGACTATGTAGATGTTCTTTGGTATGATACTGTTCTCACTTTTTATCAGGATATCTTCTTCACCAAGGATCCTTGATTAGGATATTGTCATTTTTTGCAGTTCTGTATGTGTAATAAAGTCGTACCCAGATAATTGCCATGCATATGGAAAGGATAATTCTAAAATATTGACACAGATAAATACTTGCTGTCCTGCCATCTTTTGGGCACCTCGGGTTTGAGAAGTTCAGAAATCTGGGTGATCCATCAACGCTTACCTACAGAATGCTGGATCGCAGGCCTACGCCAAAATACCGTTTGCTAAAAGAGATGGTCAAATGACGTTGTATTATATTATTTTTCCCTGAAATTGTATTGCACCAGTCCAGTGATTGTGAGACATGATACAACTAAGGGGTTTTAATGATAATGTATTCTAGGAGTGTAACAATATTACCTTCCTCACCCAGGAATTGTATCATTCAAGGCCTCGATTCCATACAAGCCTTAGTTTTGCATTTGGCTAATTTTATTGTCCCTCATTTCTTGGTTACCGCATTAGCCTAAATGTAACTACATATAATTTCCATAAATTATGTGTCGGTGTGTAATTCAGTGCAAGTATCGTGAGCCTTAATAGAGGATGTCAATCTGCATTGTTGTACCCATAACTTATACGAGCGTTTCTCAATGCGCTTTGCACAGTGACTTTGAGGAGGTGCTAAAGCAGCTGCAGTGGCCCTTCATAAGCACGCACCAAGGACTCGTGACCCCGCTCACGCCCGGCGCCAACACACAGGAGCTGCACACTAACCTCGAGACGTTCTTCTGTCACCTTCTGCAGCTGCACATCCCGTAATTATAGCGTCGCCACATTAAATTTCAAGTGTCCTGCATCACAGAAGAAAATTCCCTTGGCATATTATGTATACGTCTGTGTGCCTTTCATATTCTCTTTTTATTTACATTTGCAATTGCTTATTTCTAAAAGTAAGGCTCCAATTTTATGTATACCAATGGCCATGACTGCATTCACACATGCCTTAACTTCTATGGGTGCATGATCTTATGCCTAACCAACTGGTTCGCTTTACTGCTTAAATATCTATGGGTGTAGATACCTGTTATTTTTTTGCCTTTTTGGTTTCTCCATGTCTGCCAGCTAATAAGTCTATGTGCCTGATTTTATGTTGACCTGCCAGCTGGTGTGATCACCAGTATAAGTAATACAAAAACTAAACACCTCTAATTTGTAGTTATGTACCTAGGTTATGGCCTGTACTGTCAGACATGGGTTTTAAGCTTCAGTAATAAGATATAGATATTACAGTTGCGGTTGGGTGAGCGACTCGAGAACCCTCGTGGCCTTATGCCTATAAATTGAATACGTCAATGCAGTATGTTATGGCAGCATGATTCAGAGTTATTTAAAAATCTTGTTTTCCCTCAACTTCGCTTCAAACTGGTCTTGGATAAACCAGGGATGCACGCGCTAGGTGAAGTCTCTTGTGGTTCGGATCGTATATTCATTAAAATCGTTGTCGACCTTTCGACTGATACTACTGTGCATGTTCCTGACACAGGGACGAGGTTATATCGAGGCCAAGGCGCCTGCCAGAAGAGTACGCCCTCCCAGAGATACCACCCATCGCCCTGCCTTTCCAGCTCATGCTCACTCCCTTGGAGAAGCGTTTTCGATACCATTTCCAAGGCAACAAGCAGACCAATGACTTGAGCAAGGTAAATTACTTTGCACGCCTTCACACATATATATATGAACACGAATGAACAGACAAAATGTTTTTGAAAGGAAATGTTTTAGTTTGTATTATTGGAAGATAATCACACCATGCTGTTGCAATCGAAAGGTTTCATATTTTACCTTGTCAAAACATTTACGCGATTGTTTAGCTTTCGCAGAATGCATTGTAAACAACGCTTGTGCTTATGTCATACCAAATTGGTATGTGGAAACGTCTTAACAGTTGTCACCATTGCCACAGAAGAGGCGATTAATATGATTCAGAAATGTTGTCAACTGGTAAATGGTAATACAGCTTGGTGTTCTAAAAATATGCTGTTTGCTGTCATTTGAACATTTAAACCCAATCCTGTTCGTAAATTTTTTGTCATGTATTTGCCAGTGTTAAGGGCAGAATGGTGGTTTCCAGATGGCAGTGCAGCAAAATCCACTTGTACTGTATTTCTATGCTCCCACATCTATTCTCCCTGCCTTCAGCAACTTCCTCTGACGAGCAAGTTCACAGATAAGCAGACAATGACTTATTTATAGATGTCTGTTCACATAAAAAATATAGAAGTAATTTTAACACAACCCATCGGTCCCACGGCCTTCTTTGAGTGCATAATTTCAACAGTTAGTTTGGTTCGCTTTACTCTAGACTGATTTCAATATAACAATTCTAATGATTATTGTGTAAAGCATGGAGATATATGAAAAATAACTCCAATGACCCACACAGCATGGGGAGACCTTCATCCAGCAGCGGATTTATAATAGGGCTGTACATTTACATAGCATAAGTTGAATGTTACATAATTTAACTAAATTAAGACAGATTAATAGTATTTTTTTCTTTATCAAACTTTATTTAATATTGTACGCTTCACAAGTAAACATTACATCAATAAAGTTTGAGTTACACAAAACAATAAAATGTATACTCAGTTCAAAATATTCAACAGATTATAAAATACATATTTAGCCTGATTTAAAAAATCACAAAACACTTTCCTTATCAGATGCTGTTCATGGTCCACTCCACGTGAACACAACGTCGATCAGCACGCTGCACCATGAACCAGATTTGGGATCCTCTTGGACTAGAACCCACAAACCAAGGCTATGAACCAATAAACTGGGACTACGAACCCACAAACCTGAACTGGCAACCCAATAAAACCAGTGCATTGCATGTCACCAGACGGCCACAATACAATTAACATGTCTACAATTACAAGCTGAGACTGCATTACTTCATACCATATAATAATCAGGCAGTAATCAGAGAGTCATTATTTGATCCCAATGCCATTTTGTTTTCTTCCTGCGGTTGTCCTGTCTTTGTGGGCGACGTAGCCCGAGTGGTACCTCACTCAGGTGCTGACGTGGATATCGCACCACAGCGACTTCCTGGAGACCACCATCCAGGACATCCTCTTCAAGGCAAACTCCCCTCTCGATGCAAAGGTGCACATGCTCATGTGTTTGTATTTCAATGGTGGCCAGGTTAAACCAGCTACACTGATTAAATATCGTGCTGATGACATATTTCACATGGCGAGGCTTTCAAAGCATTTTAATTAAATCACGGCAATGTTATAAAAATCACCTCATTTGCTATTAACACTTATTAACAATTCGTTATCAACTCCTCATTTGAGACCAAAACATCGCTCCTTCTGGCTTTGACATTCCTTGGAGACACTGGTCTGCCATCAACTGCATCGGAACATCAATGAACAGACCAATGTGCCACATCCCCTTCATGAGACAAGCCACATTGTGGCCGTGCCCATGCAACTCGAATTATGGACCGTATAGTAAACCATTGTAGTCTGCGCTCCGTCAATGGAGGAATAGCAAAACTACACAAACTCTCTCCTGAAGCCCTCTTGTGGCTATCAGACCTCGACATTGGCATTTAGCTCCTGAACATATTACCACATTCAAGAATAGAATAGAACTTACTTGTAATGGAAATATATATAATAGGCTAACTTTTCTGGCAGTGACCCTTGAAAATGGTACTTAATTTTCTCATTGTCATCTCTCCATTAACTGCTATGGTCAGTGGGGAAACACTTGATGGCTCAGCTGTTAACTCCTTCCACTTTTTCCTGTCCTTTACAATATTTGTCACGCATTGTGCAGGCTTATTAGGCCACATCACATTTGTTATCACAATGTTCTGGGGTCGTACTCTCCTTTAAAAAAATATACTTATGTATGTGTTGTTGTTTACTCCTTTTGCTTAGTGCCTCTTTTAATGTGTATTGCACTGCCCTTATCCTGGTCACAGCACAGCCACTGCAGGTTTCACAGTGTTGTGTGATTCACTAACCCCTTTCCAAAGCACTAGATTAAAGATGTGCACCACCACGCCCTGAAATATGTATCTGCACCTCTCTTCTGCTAGGTTATGCTGTCAACAATTATGTTTTTGTAGTTTGCCGACCTGTTTTAATTTTCTTTTTTAAAAAAACATGGACCAGAAATTGATACCATTGAGCATATGTGTCTTCCACGTTGACCCCATGATGTCATGACTAGTTCCGGGGTCAGCCCTGCCAAAAACGTTTAGTTCCATTTGCAAAGCATGCCACATGTCTCGTTAAAAGTAGGTCACATGCCCCTGTTGTTGCTGGTTTAGCCCAGTCATGGGGCATGTAGGTCACATGCCCCTGTTGGTGCTGGTTTAGCCCAGTCATGTCGGTGAAGGAATCCATGCTGAACCTACTTACCTTGAGCATGATGTCATGACTAGTTCCGGGGTCAGCCCTGCCAAAAACGTTTAGTTCCATTTGCAAAGCATGCCACATGTCTCGTTAAAAGTAGGTCACATGCCCCTGTTGGTGCTGGTTTAGCCCAGTCATGGGGCATGTAGGTCACATGCCCCTGTTGGTTCTGGTTTAGCCCAGTCATGTCGCTGAAGGAATCCATGCCGAACCTACTTACCTAGTTTGTGAACCAGGTGGTTATGGGAACTCCACAACGTTCCTCATTTTTATACTTTAAAAAATGGTCCCATACACAAACTCCAGTGGCGAGGCTTTCAAAGTATTTTATTGCAATCACGCCAATGTTATAAAAAAATCGCCTCATTTGCTATTAACACTTTGTTATCAACAGAGTCCTTGTTTATTCTCCATCCGACGACAGTGCAGTTTCTCTGAATAAAATATTTATCATTAATATACAGATGAAGCGGCTACACATTGTTTGCACCTGATGGCAATATTATAAAGCTACACTGTGCGTTGGGGCGCAACAACTCCAATTTAAGAAACGCCGTGCTAGAGAAAGCAAACGTTGGAAGTCGTCAGAATTGCATTCCAATCATTTAATCTATCGCGAGTTGCCTGAGGTTAGGGAAACCTGGCGCAGAGTTTGTAATTATCTCCAAACTGGAACCACGAGCCGTTCAATATCACCCTCCTCTCCCTTACGCAGCTGGAGTTCATCCGCGGGCTCATGCTGCTGGTAATGGAGAAGGCGGCGCACGACGTGCCTCGCCTGCTGTTCGACGACACCCTCTTCTGCCACCTGGTGGACGAGCTGCTGCTGTTTGAGCGGGAGGTGCGCGCCGCGCACGGCTACCCGGCCGCGCTGCCCGGCGTGCTGCACGTGCTCTCGCAGGAGGCCTGCTTCCAGAAGTGGCTCGCCGTTGAGCGCAAATGTAACGCAGACACGAACGTGCCATCGTCGCGTGGCAAACACCCGCATCGTTATTACATGCAGATAGCACTGCCGTGTGGTGTAGATGCACAATTTCAGCCAAACAATTGGAAATAATTATAATTTCGAACATTTGGTAATCACGCCATTCTTATATCGCAAGGCTATCGCGAAAGCGCTATTTTTCACAGACAGTCTGCAGTACTTTTTTGCAGTAGGGGGTGATATTATTACATGGGTCATTCCAATTGAGTAATTTGTGGATGATTTAGAAACATTTTCAGATTTGGGCAATAATGCCAGCACACAATGGCCTACTCATTTTGAATGATATCGGATGATCTTTAATATTTACTGTGAAACAGATGGTGTGTTTTTATGGTTAACAGACCCACAGTAATAACCAGGTCAGTCTGCCCGATTCGAACCGAGAACCTTTGCGTTTAAGTGGTGAACGTGCTCCCACTGGGTAATGTCACCGCCCCAGTAAGTTAATGATGGTGCCAAGATGTGGCATTGAAATGTTGGGGGGGGAGCGCACTGCACTGGAAATATCTCGGTGAGTTTTATATGTAGTGAGTTTCATACCGTGCATGTAATTTGTATTTGCGATTGTGTTACACCTAGCATTGATTTAGACTAGGGAAGTCTTCAAAATAATAATTCCTGGTTCTGTTTTATATCAATAAAAGTAAATTGTAGAATAGAATGATGAAAGTTAAGCTAATGTAAAAAGTCATCTTAATAATATACTCAAAGATAGTTTCAGTATTGCTTTTTTAACCATTGGTTAAATAGTTGAAATTGACGAGCAATGTAAGATAATACGAGTAATGTCCACAAAATGGTATACCCCAAATGAAACGCTGCTCACTACTCCCAACTACTTGTAGGATATGGAACGTACCACTTTAACATGGGTGATTGTTGTCCCGTGTGCCGGCAGTCTCGTTGGAGAAGGTGGACTCCATGCTGTCGTCGGAGGCGGCGTGGAGCTGCCAGTACCAGGACGTGGGGGAGCTGGAGGAGGCGCATGTGCCCGACTGTGCCGAGATGTTCATGACCTTGCTGCAGGTGATCACGGGTGAGTGCCAACCGGTGGGACGGGGCTCAGGGTCACCACCTGCAACGTTTCTCCTAGATCTCACTCCCGACTCACCCACTTGTATCGGTCGGAAAGACCTGAATTAAGGAGTTTTAGTTGTGTGAAACAGTGATTAACCCCCTTCCCCCAAATCCACTGCAATTCGATGAATCTTCACAATTCAGGGATGCACTCAGATTCAAGTATTGGTTCTTTAAACTTGATTTGGAGCTTTCGTGACTGCAGGAATTACTTTTTGGTTCTTTCGGTAAAGTCATGTATAAAGAAAATAAATTAAATAATAGAATACGACATCAGGTACATGATGATGATTGCTTGTGTTGCAATCGAAAAGTCGTATTCTATTTAATTTTTTCTCTATGTTACTTTACCATGTACCTAAAGATGATTGCTTGTGTTGCAATAGAAACGTTGTATTCTATTATTTAATTTATTGGTTCTTTATCTAATTTTCCTGTCTCATTTCGTTTTTCTGTCTGCTTTTTTTATCCCTTGTGCCATCTAAATTAAACCTGCGCATATTTTAGCTTATAATTTGCATGCAATGTAAATAATCGATCATAATTGCACAACTCTATCTGTGCACCTTGTTGAGTTCAATTCTAACTAATTGTTACACGCTTTGTTACATGCTTCATCAAATTTCATAGCATTTGCAGTACATTTTGGATTTTTATATCAGAATCAGAGCCCCAGTAGGTGTAGCGAATTTCTAGATGGCAGCAAATGATAATCGCTACACCTGTTTTCCTAAACCACTGTGTCCTCTTCCACCCCATTGGGAACCATGTGGTGCACATTGTCCCCTGCAGACCGCTACAAGTGGCTGCCCCAGATGTGGCACAAGCTCAAGTTTCTCGAGCTGCAGATGGACCTCCTGGACGACTTCCGCATCCGCCTGACCCAGGTCATGAAGGAAGAAGCGCACTCTCCGCTGGGCACGCGCTACTGCGCCGTGCTAAACGCCGCCGCCTACGTCACCAGCGTGCTCTCCGACTGGTGCGACAACGTGGTGCGTCCCATCGTCTGCTCCTCTTTCAGCATTACCCATAATGCCACCGCCAGTACCGAGCCCAAGAGTGCCGTTTTTAGCGTCGGGATATACATTCACTAGTTGCTGCCACTCCTCCGAGCAATGAATGATGTGTTTCACAGCACTGAGCTAATGCCACTAAGATGTTGGGTTTATATCCCGGTGACCGCTTAGTGTGAAACGATGAAGTGACAGAAGGTTCGTTTCTCCACGTGAAATACTTTTTTTTGTTCCACCATAGCACTTAGTGAGTTTACATATTAAGGTTCTGAAGTGTCGTTCAATGATCTCTGTCTGGTCACCAATGCCTAGATGAGTAAAAAATATATATTCTTTATTGAATATATTTTTTTCCTGACTTAATATGGCCATTCCCAACTAGGAGGGCTTTAATCGAGCGATAGATGCATAGAAACATTTCTATGCATCTATCACTCGATTAAAACATTACGTAAAGAGTGTTTTATGAGGTCTATTTTGTTTTATAAGGTCTATTTTGGAACAAGTTTGATTCTCTCAACTACTGTCATTCTACGGGATCATCTGTTTTTAAGATTTTGCTCTACTGCCAATAATATGTGGGGGGGGGGGGTGGAATTCAATAAAATTAGGAAATAGCAGTAATTGCGATTTTAAGATCAAAACAACACTTTCAGTAGATTACATCTTACCGATAGACTGTCCCCGCTTCCCACCATGGGAATGTGGAATTTCCAGCACCGGCACAGGGGGGCTGCCTGTGAAGGTGGGTGCTGCACATTTGCGTGCTGAAGCAGGGAGAAGACACTTTGTCGTTGACCCTATGCCGCTTTTGCGTGTGTCCGTGGCTTTTTGGTTCTGGTTTCCCCCCGGGGATGCGGGGGGGGGGGGTGCGTTCAGTTTTTCCTACAGATGCAGCAGGCCTACCTGGAGGAGGCAGACGACAGGGCGACGGTGGGGGGACGCATGTCGGAGCTGCAGCTGGGACAGCTGGCGTCGCTGGAGGCGTCCGTGTTCGACGACACGGTGCGCCTGCTGCACCGACTGCAGCAGGAGATGCTGTCCAAGGTGGGCGACTGCGTGTTCAAGGAAGTCAAGGAGAAAGCCCAGCTGTACAAGAGGGAGAGGTGAGTGCCGAAGGTTGGTTTAAACGTATTTTATTTAATGCTGCACTGGATTTAAACCGATTTGCCTCTTCAGTGTTGTTTTCACACTCGACTAACAATAAAAGCTGATTAAAATACAGAAAAGCATAAGAAAGTGCATTTAAATCCATCTTCTTAGTGATATTGCCATTGATTTTTATACACATTCTTCATCATGCACCGACACATTTGTTGACTAGTGTGTACATAAACACTTGGTCATTCACACTATTCACTGCTTATTGTACATGGAAACCTGTGTGTGCCTTCACCATATTGTCTCCTCGCATACATGCCTTGCTGTACACGAATTGTATTGGCCTCTCACTAAACGCACAACATATACCCTATCCAGTCTTTAATGATATTTTTTGCTTACTGTTTAATATACACACCCAATCATGCTCTCACGATTATGTTTGACATGCCATTGACCATGCATTTTCACCATGGTTCACTTTGTTTTATACATACACCTGGCCATATACAACCTATCATTCACTCACTCCTGTATAAATTAAATTGTCCATATGCCCTATTGTTCACTCACTGTTGTATAGATTAACTTGGCAATATACACTATCATTCAGTCATGGTTGAATCTGTTAACCTGGCCATATACCCTATCATTCCCTCAGTTGTATATATTAACCTGGGCATGCATACTATCATTCACTCACGGTTGTACAAGTCCCACTTGCTGTATCACCAATCCTGCAGGTGGCTGAGCCTACCGGCCCAGGTGGAGCAGGTGACCATGTCGCTGTCGAGCACAGCGTGCCCCTTTGTGGTCGCCCTGCGCGACCGCCTGCTGCAGATGGAGCGCCAGCTGTCTGCGGAACTCTTCTCCACCCTCTGGGTCACTGTGGCCGAAAAGCTCGACATCTTCTTGTACGAGGAGGTCCGCACAGCCCACGACGTACATCTTGCCTTGCTGTGCTCGTTTAAACGCCGGTCACTTGGTCTCAATAGAATAATAGTGCCTTAATATGAAGGGGACTGCAGAGCTTGGGAAATTGTTGGTGCTGGCTCACCGCCTGGCTGCCTTTTCCAGCTTGTCTGTTGTAGTTCCTCAACAAATGTGAGATACAGTTTGCATGAAGGACTTTATGTAAAGCAAAACCATAATAATTAATAATCATAAGGATAATGGGTTACTTAAAAAGTCTACTGTAATAGTGCATTTTAGAATGCTTGGCCTCTAAGGTGGCCAGGTGGCTCAGCACTAAGCTGGCACTACTGAGATTTTGGGATCACATCCAGGTTTCAACCACATTTGATTAATTTGGTTTCTTAATTGTAGCCAGTTGGTTTCAGCCGGTCATTAATGACCACGCAAAAAAACCATGAAGTTTGGTTTTGGACTTAAGCTGGTTAAATAATTTAAACTATCGGTTTAGTTGTTATGCAACGGTCTTATAGGTAAACTAATGGTAAAGTGTGACCTCCAACTGTCTACAGGATACAGGGTCAAATGAAGTATATTTTAAGTAAAGTCTTGTGAAATATGTATTATGCACCTCTTTCACACATTGGGTGTCTCAGGACATGCCTATAAATAGCACAATTGGAATCAATCAGGAAAATACCGAAATAAATCAATGAAACATTCACATGGCCCCTTAATTTTCAAGAACATGAATGGCTGTCTTATACACAGGCTAATAGTGTAATTAGCCAACCTGTGGTAAAGCACTTGAAAACCATGATGGGTAGATCCTCATAAAATCTGTTAAGCCTTCAGCCTGAAGGGAGAAACGATGGCTAGAATATGAGCATGGCAAGTAGGTTCCTGACCTTTTGTGGGATTTTAGTTTGGTCTTGCATACAAATAAGTAAACAAACCTCTCACAAGGCAAGAGCCCTCCTGAAGGGGTCTCTCAAAATTCAGCGAAGCCTTGTGGGATTTTAGTTTGGTCTTACATACAGATAAGTAAACAAACCTCTCACAAGGCAAGAGCCCTCCTGAAGGGGTCTCAAAATTCAGCAAAGCCTGCCTTGAGGACTTCATTACTATTTATTTTTACGTAACATTTACCCGCAGGTGATTTTAGCGAACCATTTCAACGAAGGTGGAGCAGCCCAGCTGCAATTCGACATGATGCGGAACCTCTTCCCACTGTTCGCCCAGTACTGCAAGCGGCCAGAGAACTACTTCAAGCAGTGAGTGACACGTGAACCTTTACTGGTTCCCATGGTTGTGACATACACGTGATTTTACACTAGATGTGACAATTCACCACCCTCACCGATTAAATTGTCACCATACCATTCAAACATGTGTTTTGACCATATTATTTGTACAGTTTTGTTCAGTTATCCTAAATGTAACATATCATTTGCATAAATTGCACATCAATTATAACATTCCCACTTTTGGATATGTATTATGAGCTGTAAGTATTGCTTATAGTCGAAGAATAAATGCCGTGTAACATGCTTAGCCATCACCCTTCTCCTCGGGCATCAGCTCACCTTACCGTCCTTCACAAGATCCCATAGAAATGTAAGCGAGGTAATAACATCTCGCATGCTTGTCACTTGAACATATATAAATACGTTATGGAGATGAGCATCAGAGCCTAACAGAGCACTCGACTCACAAATGGAAGGTTGAGTAGATCCACACTGTGCCAGCCAGCCCATCACAGAAAATCCGTCTGTGAGGAATCGTATCTATTCTGCCGTATGCCAACTTTGTTCCCCATCCGTGCTGCGTGGGGCCATCAGCGTGAAGGAGGCGTGCCTGGTGCTGACCCTGGGCGTGGGACCCGCGCTGCTGCTTCGCGAGGTGCTGAACTCGTGGGCGAACGAGGGCGGCAAGGACGACGACCCCAGCGACGGCGAGCAGACCCAGCACACGGCGTTCACGTCGCTCAACGAGATGGGCATCTACAAGCTGTCGCCCCGCACCGTCAAGATTCTGCTGGGCCTGAGGACAAACCTTCCCGCCAGCGCCTAGTGGCTCGCGAAGGATGGACTGCCTTGTGAGTGCACTGCCATGCAAGATACTGTGGCGCCTTGCTTTCGTGTTGTTTCGTTGGTGAACCCCGAGTGGTGAATGCTGAACAGGACTAATGTGTTGCACTCATTCTTAAGTGGAACATGTTTGTGTGAATTTCACACTACACCTAAGGGTAATTCATTTATTTAAATTATTTAAAGTTAGGACCCTGGTTATGGGACATGAGTAATACATAATGGAAAGCAATGATTCCTCCGATGAGCCTTTTAATGCGTGTATGATCGACTATTATAGTTATGGCTTTTAAGCTCGATCATCATCAGTCATATCAAGCTGTTGTTGGATAAAGATCTCACAATCCAGCAATAATCTATTTAGAACCTGGACAAGCTGTACTCATTACTCCAGCTCCTTGGTAGATGTACTCTGATGCGTTCCATCCTTTTGCTACCACTCAGTCTTTATTAGTCATCTAAGTACAATTGTCTCAATGCTGTTGATACAACCTTGCAGTAAAGAGTATAATTTGTGAGAAATTAAAGTTAACTTGTATTTAATTACCTTAAAAGTCATATTTTAACTGACAAATCTGCACCATATTCCAGGAGGTTCCTATCAGCATCCTGGGAATGCACAAGTAATGAAGAATTACAGCAGGAATATTTCAATCTCAGCATTTCTATTTTTCGGATAAACTAAGGACCTCACAATACCTCTTAGCAGCAGGCATGTATCCTTAATTGCTTTCATTTAATTAGTTTACTCTATGGAAATTGTTTTAAACATTGGCATTGAGGTTCAACAATGTTAAGTGCTTAAAACTCTAGACCACTTGATACAATCTTCGAATGAAAGATGCAGATTTTGAAAAGCAGTAAAACATCACACGGTAACAATTTCAGAATTGCCGCAAAATGTGTTTATTGGACACTTTGGATTTGTGTGTTCACAAAGCTCATAAAACGTTTTTATTTATCTGGATCTATTCTCTCTGTACAAATCATTATATATAAAAACAAAACAATTTCTATTTACTTTAAATACAAAATATATGTACAAAAATATTTCGGAGATGAAAATGACTGCATTCAGCATTGCTAATAAACACCGTATGCAAAAGAAAAAAATAATGGAACTTAATATTGTTTATTATATTGGAAACATCCTGGTTTAAAAAAGAAAACATAAGGGACTCGCCAACATATTGCTAGCCTAGGCTTTCTTGCCTGAATAGGTATTCTTACCTGAATTTTGCGTAGGGAAAGGTTAACTTCGCTATAAATCCCTTTCTTGGTTTCTTCAACCAAGTTGGCGGCATAAATATAGGGAGACTGCAACACGTACACAAACCTAGTGCTTTAATTGGTCACTTAGGGCAGTACCACAGGGCTGTGTAAAGGGGCTGCTCATACGCAAGGTTACATCACCGTAGCCCTCCATTAACGCTTTAATATGAGAACCTGCATGTGTTTAATTTTCCGCACTAGCCCCCCTTTCCAAACAGTCTCCAGCCACCTCGGCAGTGGCACGGGTCGAGTGTACAGGACTGTACGTTGCGTACACCACAACACGGAAAAATAAACGTGAATATATGTATTGGAAGCAACGTTTTTACTTTAAGCTACAACACACCACAAGCTAGGGGTAATATTACGTTGGTACCCGATAGGCAGACAACGGATTGCGACTCGACGATCAGCATGACCACAATCACATTCCCAGTGGGCCCCAACTCCAATGTGTGCTGCCCCCCCCCCATCCCTCTTCGGGTTTCACCGAAGGAAATGTGCTGATCCTGCCATGTAGTTTCCTTCAGGTCATCGTACACAGCAGTTGCAGGAAGACATCGCCGTGTTTCCGGCGTTTTTCCTAAATAGTCGAGTCCAAAAGGGGGTAAATGTGAAAGGTGCAGCCCTGCAATTCTTTGCTCACACCACGACTTGCAGAAGGTCCTCCACCAGAGGATGCTCCAGAGCTCCACGCCAATGGGTAGTTTTGGCCGACTCTTATATACTCGACATGCATCTTGGAAGAGGTGGGGGTACCCACAACAGACTCCACCACATGCGGTCTGCTTATTTGACCAAACTGGCATATCCACTTCTACTGTTGGTTGGACAGGTAAACGCATGCAATTAATGCTCCAAGCAACATGATTTTTTTCTCTCATGAAACTGACTATTGCAGAATTAACTTTGCCTAACCAGCCCTGAAAAAGAATCCACCAGCGAAGGCACTTGGATAAGTGGTAGTGTTTTACCAAAAGAAGAAAACAATTCCTGAAAACCCAATATTACCAATCTTTTTATAGAGTTTTGAGGTCTCAACGTTGCAGGGCTGAAATATGAATAATCTTTACCTGAATGCCCATTAAAATGTATCTTTTACACAGGAGACAGGGATACCACGGCATCATCTACAGGAGTGTTTGTAATTAAGATATCGGTAATTTTCAAATTTAACCTTTATGCTACGATAATCTTCTACGAATTAATGCTCAAGGTCTTTAAAGTTCTGTTTTAGGACAGAGTTTTTCCTGAAATCCCTTTAAAAATCACCAGGAGATGGCAAACACGTTGGCCAAATTTGCCCAGTCGCAAGCATGACCACTGGGCTAGAGATTCTCTTAGATGAATCAGAAAATTATCAAAATTGAGCCTAGATATAAAAGTTTTGATGATCTAAATTATTGTTTTTAAATCCAAAATGTAAAATTACATACTTTTCCACCAAAGTGGTGTTACGTAGCATTAGGTAACATCACCTTTGCATGAAGATACATTAAATTATTACTGAAATACAAATGATCAACTAGGAATACCATTTTGTTTAAATCCAAAACTTAACCCTATACTTGGCTATCTATAATAAATGAGCTTTTGAGTTCTCATCTGTTTAGACAGAGTCCCTGTAAAGGGTTGTGCTTATTTTTAAATTAGTCATTGCCAGCTGTTCCCATTTACTGCTGGGTGTTTAAACCTCCTTAAGTTCTGCACACCTACAATCCCCACTCCATTATAATTGCTTTCATAACTCGATACTGTCGTCCCACACTTTTAAACATTTATTAAATCCCATAAAAAGAAAATTAAAATCATACAACAAAAATAAGGCAATTTAGTCAGCATTGCATCTCCGTTTAGTTCCTCCCTGCAAGCTTTGATTTTGCTTTAAGATTCTTCATCGGTGCCTACAACTGCATTGCGCAATCAACACATGAGCAACAACACAAGCTCGGATTCTTGCGAGAAAGCATCTTAAACCGAGGAAGCGCCCAGGTACCCAGTTTTGATTTACCACTTGTACCCCTTTTACACTGGCAAATCTGAGCCGAGCCAGTGCAGGGCCCTCACAGGTGGCAGTGCTAATGACATGTGCAATGCATATAACATCACCACTTAAAGAAAATCAATAAAATACCATCCAGCAGTCCAGAGCCTTGGAGCATTGAACAGTGTGCGAGTATGTATATCTGCGCGCAAGTCAACTCAAACACGGCGTCGGCGTGTCACCCGTCTCGATGTTACACGCTGCGTGCCATGTCAGCGGCATGGCTCGGCTTCTGCAGTGGAAAAGCCTGCCTCCTGACCCGTGCTCGGCTGGCTCTGTATGGCGCGGTCTCGGATGTGCCAGTGGAAAAAGGAATATTCCTGTAGTTCAACAACATGGAATGCATTATACTGAACAATCATAGATCTAACTTACGATATTTCTGCCAGGACCTTACATTATGTGGAAGCACAGCCTTAAGTGACGTTTGTATTTGGTGAAGGGAAGGGTGTGTTTGCAGCACTATGCCTTACTGTTTTGGAGGACATATGTACATAAATGCATTAAGTTTCAGTGTCACACACACACGCACATTTATTGCTAAAGTAATTGGAAGTGTATATAGAATGTTCGTACTGTATATACTTAAATATGTATATATAATGCATGTGGTACACATACACTAAGTACACAATATATAACCCCATCGGTGCTAAATATATATACACACAAACTAGGTGTCCCCCATTTAGCCTTTTAGACTGTTGGGGCAAGTGCTGTTAGCGAGCACATTAAGGACAGCAAAGCTAGCAGCACTTCCAGCCTCAATTGTTCCCCTAGTGCTATTGATTACACTGCTCCAGGTACTCATTTTAGGCTGAGCTAACCTAGGGGAGGACAAATCCAGGTTCAATTCCCACTTCCAACTTGTGTTGTTCATAGCTTGAAATTGAACCTGGAACACTGGAAATGCTGCAGTGTGCTAATCACTACGATACCACTTCCTAATCACGCCACACACGTCGGCCCACACACACAATATAAACTAATGAACTGCTCTGTAAACTAAGACATCATCTACACAGCATTACACACACACGATACACACTTCACACTTGGACAATCACAGTACTGTACTTGTACACAGCTTCCCTCCGCTCCACAGAAAAGTTTTTTTCCACGGCCGACAGAGCTCTTGCGCACGGGTCGATGGCAAGACCGCCGATTTCATCGACGATCTTGGGATGTGTAGAACACGAGCGACAACGGTGGTCCAGGTCCACTTGTCGTGGCGAGGGTTAGCAACGCTGAGCCCCAGAGACCCCGGGTCAAGGGTCGCAGCCTAAACGATTGCCGCGGGGCTCACAGATCTGTGACCTTGTTCTCCAGGGCAGCTGCCACCTGCTGCAGACGGTAGGACAGCTGCATCTTCTGCGCGACGGGATCCTCCTCCAGCGCCGTGATGAGCTGGGTGCGGCAGGGGGGCGGCTCGTTAAGTCGCGCGATATATTACAACGAGGCAATGCAATAGAAATGCGGCGACGCATCGATTAACTCGCATGGCATAGAAAATGAGTGTACAGGCGGTGCAACAGCACTGGGGTCCACAAGCCAGAGGGCTAAGACGACTGGGTTACGAAGAGGGGAAAGGCAGGGGCGAGCACTGGCCATAGGCATTGGCCTAGGAAGGTGGCAAATTGTTGGGATAGGCGGAGCGGCCATGTCAAGTTCTGCAACCGAGTGGCTGCCAAGCGCGTGAACCGCTCATGGGACAGGCATTTGTACCCGTGGATGTCGGCCGCAGCTCACCTGGTCGTAGTACTTGATGATGTACTTGTACAGCTCGTGCAAGGCCACCATTGTGTTCAGCTCTCCTCCGTTGTTCTACACAAGTCCGGGTTGGCGTAAAAAAAAAAACGATTAAACCAGAAGGCCTTGTTTGTGGCCGATGGAAAGTGTGAACGCGACTATTATTTTTAGTGCAGAAGGACGAATGTGTGAAGATGTACTGTCTGCATGTTTACTTTATTATATAACGCTAGTCGATAAATACACTGTCCCTGTAGAGGCCTAATTGAAATAAGAGTTCAGTTTGGCAATCGCGAAAGGGAATTGTCTAAAAAAACATTTAATTTCCCTGAAAATATGCTTGAAAAGCAGCAAACATAAATCATCCAAGCTTTAACACATTCATGTCTACATGTATGCAGGTGCATGGACGTACATGTGTATAATCTAGCTCAAATGCAATGTACACACCGAGTGCTTTATATACATGCGTTATCAGCACGTGGTGAACACAAACATTCATGGGTGTAGACGACATCAGAACAAGCATCTTCGCAGTCGTTCCTTATCGCTATGAATAACTAATCTGATGTCATAAGACAGGGCACTTCCAGCAGTGCACCATGCAGCTTTAATATTTAACCGGCACTGAGAATTTGATTTGGCAATTATAAAGAAACGCAGAAGAACAAAGACGGACAAAATCGGTATTGAAGGAAACGTACCCTCGACTCCTCGGCGAGGAAAGCGTTCATTTCCTGATCGCTGACGGGGGACATCTGCCGCACGTCGGCATAGTACCTGTGTGCCAGAGACAAGGGGGCCCCAAGGGGCCTCGTCATGGGTGCCTGGGCCAGACACCGCTCCCTCGTGAACCTCGCTCGCAACCTCCGGCGTCGTCATCACGCCCTGCAGCGCAACCGCTCCCAAACCCAGGCGCCCCACACCTCCCCATGGTCCATCTGTCCACCCTTCCACAGCGTTTCTCCATTCGAATGTAAATGAGATGTTTATGCTTTACATATCTCCATTATTTATGCATATACGAGTGATGTATGCACCGATAAGAGTGGATGGATCCTTATGTCCAGTATGAATGTGTTGATTCATACGAGTGAGAATCCATTATAATGCTAATTATTAATTTTGGGTGATTAAAGCGTAAAAAGAAATGTAACAACTTGAACATTGTACAAATATTAAAGACAAAACAAGAAACGATACGAATACATCAAAAAAATTATAGATTATTGAATCAAATCCCAACCATGAATTGTAACAATCCATCAAATTTCATGGAAGGGAAGGAGGGGGTCCGTGAGACATATGCCTACTTGCTACACTGCATATAACAGCACGAGCCCAGATAGACCATGCGAGTTTTCACCATTCGTATAGCACGCACCAACTGTCAGCATGATGAACAGTCATGTTATTCAGCGGAACAATCGTGTTTTATTCCTAGAAACATTGCGCTGTACAACTCGAAAACACCTTCCATAAACAAATACATTTTAATCTCTTGTTTACCCCTATAGACTGCCAGGGAAAATATTGTTGGAGAGAATCTATTAAGAATGGCATTTGTATACAAAGGAGTGGGGAGGGGACAGCAGGCATAGAGCCACAACGCTTTTTGTTTCTAAAGCCAGATTTTCCGCACAGCATGCTACCCATCGTGACACATGCTCCCTTAACACAAAGACAACAACAAAATATCCCCCCACATAGCAAATACAAGCTGTTGGGGCAAGTTCTGTTTAGCGAGCGCCTATTAGTGCCGGCACAGAACATGAGGAGGGGGTGGTGTGGCCGGTGCCTGTGCCGGGAACGCCTTTATCTCCCCGAGTGCTGATGTTTACACATCACAACAGGTACTCTATTTAAGGTTGAAACAACCGAGGGGAGGCTTAAGATCGAGTCATAATTAATCAACACGGATGTCAGCCATGGCCAGGAGTCAAACTCGGGCCACCTTGTTCGCAGCACGACACGCTTACCAATATAACAGTACAACTATTCCCCTCCCCAGAGCACACACATCATACACACGTACGCACACATGCTAATACACACTTACTTTTCCACCATCTTCTTGTACCGTGGGATTTCCCTTGCGTACAGCAGCTTGTTGATTGGCGAATCCTGGAGACAGGGTCACACATCAGCATTCGCATAACCTTAACCATTACCAGCAACTGCAAACACATAAAACAAATTACATTCGAACACTGCCCATTCACATTCTCTTTTCACCAGGGGCAGAGCCAGGATTTTGACTTTGGAGGGGCTGACTTCAATATTCTGAGATATCCAGTCCAGTGGATGTTTTCCAATGGGCGCCACAAATGTATAAAACAAATTTTATTGGATTTGAACGCAGAGTTTACTAATAGGTCGGAGCCGCTGATATGGCTAATAAGTTCAGCAGGATATCCGGTTATCCCGATTACCGACTTTCCCAAAATTTCAGGGGGGGCTGAGCCCCCCCCCTCAGCCCCCCCCCCAGCCCCCCCTGTGGCTCCGCCCCTGCTTCTCACACAGCAACACACATCCTCCCCCCCGAAATATAACATCTGCACTAATTCAGGATAACTTGCTAACATGCTGGTTTTAAAGAGCAAATGGAACTCCAATAAAAATTGTATTAAACCTCAGAGGCGTTTCGGAGTTGATTGTTATTGAATGGTCAGCACCTGTTTTCATCAGTCTGGGATTCTGAAAAAAAATATCTAATTTTACAGGCGTAAAATCCTCATCTAAAACCACTACTGGCTGTTCCATCAGCATGTCTGCCATCCATTAATGTCATGGTAAAACAAGCCTTTGAGCTGAAGCGTAAAAATAATTTAAGCAAGGGAAATTGACTTCTGGTCCCCTCTTGTTGTCAACCACACAATCCGAGTCCTTTCTCCACTTTGTTCACTTTGCTGGACATCCATCTCCTTTTCCTCTTTCCTCCTGGCTTCTTCCCTGCTCCCCACACACACTCCTGCTTAGCTGCTGAGCTCCCCTTCTAGTTTCTTACATCACGATGGGGTGGAATCACAGGGAAATATGTCCTTATATTCTAACCCTAATTTGCTCTATATCTGCGATCACATGTTTAACCTAAAAAACATGCCAAAGAAATTATACGACTAACACTGCACCCACCTAAAAACTTTTGACAAGAGCATGAGGATTTCTTGATCTTTCATTCTGCCGATTTTACCACAATATCTTCTGGAAGCATTTGGACAATAGAAATTACCACAGCAGCTTGCCCTTGGCATCGCCAACCAATAAATAAATCAAACTGGCACACTTATGATTGCCCGTCGGCTCCCTGGGTCACACGAGTCATTGGCACAAAGGCACAGCGGTCATCAGCTGTCTCCGATTTTTTTCCACGTTGGCTCCGAGTGCCTCGGGCTGAGCTATATGGTAACTTCCCCCCGACGCGCTCTGCCCACTGCCCCCCACCCTGCCCCTCCCCCCCTCCCCACATCCCTCACCCTTCCAAGCTTCTGCTCGACGGTCGTGCACGAATCCATGAAGGTCTGGGCGATCACGGTGAGCGCCGAGTCTGTGATGTCCGACACGTGCACGTCGAACACGAACTGAGGGTTCTTCAGGATGTTCACCCAGAACCTCAGCGGGAGGCTGGGGTCACAGAGACAAGAGTCACAACCAACTCGCGCAGAGAGAAGACACGGTCACAACCAACTCGCGTCGAGAAGACACGGTGACTACCAACTTACGCAGAGGAGACACGATCAGAAGGGGATAAATATCACAGCAACATCAAGCCTTACTGACAACATCTGTGAAACAGCTCCTTCGCGACAGCTTTTGCACGATAAGAACGGCGCGCAAATCGGACGCAACTCAATTATTATAGGGAGAGAAAGATGTACGGAGGGCGGCTCTCGCACCTGTTCGTCTTCCAGATGTGCAGGGTCTCGGCGTCGGTGATGCCGTGCCTCTCCGCCTGCTCGTCGAGGAAGTCGAAGAAGTACTTGACGGCGACAGGGACGGCGCCCCGTGCGCTCAGCACCACCGTGAAGAGGTCGTCCACGAAGTTCTGCAGGATGCTCTGCGCACGCGCGCGCGCACACACACACACACGAGCGGCCGAGACCGGACGCGGCGTGAGCCTTGTGTCGGAGATGGCGGCTCCCCGGCGTGCTTTTTTGGGGTTGTACCGCGCGCACCGTTCGACGTGACGTGTTCGCTTCTTTGCTCCCAAGTGTTAGACTTAATCCGAGGCGAGAGAGGGATTTATAAATGTGCAATTCGTTTCGAGTGCCACGCCGAAGGACCGAACCGGTGGCATCCCTGATTTGATGAACACAAAGATCCCCCCGTATAGCGTTAACAGACTGTTGGGGCAAGTGCTGTTAGCGAGCACCTATGAAGGCCGGCACGGCACACGAGAGGGTGGGTGGCCATCACCACGCCCGTCCGCCTTTGTCTCCCTCGTGGCGATGTTTACACATTGCACCAGCGCAGTGCGCTAACCTTTGTGCTACCACTCCCCACCGTTGCAATACACCAAAACACACACAAAGATCTCCTGTATAACCATACAGATTTTTGAGAAACTTGAACTGTACCACTTTGCCAATTAAAAATAACATATATACACACACACACAAAAATATAAAAATGTGCAGTATCTTCCATGCACAGGGCAACACTCGGGGATGAGACATACCTTCATGGAGAGAAGCCGCATCAGGTAGATCTCTGGGATGACCTTGGTCTGCGCGCGGTCACGGATGCTACCCTTGCGTCGCCCGGCATGGATCTCGGGCTCCTCTGTGGCCTTGACGAGGTGCCACCTCCTCACGCCGTCCTCGTCGTCTCGATCCGACGGGCAGCTCGAGCCTGCACGCGGACGCACGCATGCACACAGGGACATACAAACGCGCACGCACGCACACGCAGGGATAGAACACACGAGGAAACGGGTACACGCACACAAACGCCAGCACGCACACACAGGGGACACGCACGCTCATTCGTATGATCTCTTTTGCAGATCATACAACGTGGGTGGGGCCATTATTAATTTAATGAACCTCGAATCCTTCATAAATGGAAAATGAAAGACGAGCCACATTAGTGCGATTGTGGCCATGCAACCCAAACCATGGACAGTACAGTACACCACTGGAGTCTGTGCTCTTTCAACTGAGGAGGAATAGCAAAACCACACAAAACTCTCTCCTTGTGGCTAGCAGACCTCGACAGTGGCATTTAGCTCCTGAATATATTTCCATACGCATGAATAAAATACTGCATAACCTCATATCTTGCTTTACATTATTAGACGTACATATTTTACATTTAGAAATGCAATGCAAATACAATACAACACAATACTGCATAAGCTGTTACCAGGTAAGTACACCTGGAAAACTGCATGGATTTTACAAAGCTGTTGTGCAATAAAGGAGGCTCTGATGAAGCCACTGCCATCGCTTTCCAAGTATCCGCCCGCCCTGCGATTGGTTTCCAGCTGCGGATGACATAAGTGGTGATAACCTGAATCAGCCCTGGGCCTGTCCTAGGTCAACTTCGGCGTTAATTAAGTAGCTGGTGCGGTGTGTAAACAGCACTAGAATAACAAAGGTGGCCTAGCATGGTGCTAGCCACACCACACCCCAGCGTGCACTTTGCTACATGTAATAGGTACTCGCTAGCCTGTGTAAAAGCTGCTTGGGGGATCTCTGTCAAACCCGGTGACCCAAGTTCAAATCTTACGGTCAACACCAGTGACAATCATCCGAACCGGTCTTGGGACTCCCCTAAGTTGACTCGCTCTCAAATGAATACCCAGTGCGATGTGTAAACATCGCCACTCAGAAGACAAAGGCGGGCGGACGTGGTGCTGGCCACCCACCCCCTCGTACCGTGCTGGCCTTTCTAGGTACTCGCAAACAGAACTTGCCCTAAAAGTCTGTTAAGGCTACAAGGGGGCTCTATGTCCGGTCTTATTGTGCGTGCAAGTGAGGCTCACGTGCGCCGGCTGTGAGGTCGCGGTGAGGCTGTGGGCAAGCCCGGTTTTCCAGCGAGCGTGGGACGAGGAACATGCGTGCTCCCTCCTGGATCTGGAGGCGAGGATCAGGGGAGAGGGAGCACCGTGAGAGTTGAGATGCAGCGACACTCGGAGTGAGATAATCAATATACTCGTCCCTTTGTGGCGAGGTTGGCAGAGCGGTTAGTGCCCCGTGCCATGAACCCGGACGTACGAGTTTGATCCAAACCAAGGCTAACATGAGCGGCGGGGTGGGATAACAGCCAATCCTCGTTGAACCCACAACCTCCACCTTCAGCGTGCACTAACCAGCCCTGGTTCAACGAGGGGAGGTCTCCAATCAGCAGTGAGAAGGATTGTGACCTGAAGTTATAAATATCCGGCATAACCGGTGATGGAAGCACAAATATGTACACTGGAGACATTGAAACCCTAAGGCTATATACACACACACGTGTTGGTTCTCTGAAAAAAAAATTCGTTCCATCCACTTTGGCAGTGTTCTGAGCAGAATATTCAAACTCCACACTCTAGATAATTGTGCAATGATGCAACAATGCAGCAATTTAAATTGTTAACACTCATGATGCACGCTTCGAACCTGGAGGGCCAGAGTCAAGTACCCTTAACTCGTGCAAATTATTTGCAATTTATATGTGGCATTGTAACACTTCTTCGAATCTCTTGGGGTGTGGTGGCAGCAGGCTGTGGAAGTGATTCAGTCCACGCCTACCAATAAACCTACTTGTTGTACTGTATCTCAGTTACCCTGTTTCCCAGCAGGTGGACAACTCGCATAAATCACAGCTCCATGTCCGTGTGAGCCACCAGCCTTTCCTCCCCACCCCCCCCATCCCCGATTAGCATGCACTACAGGCACTAAAAACCACCACACACCGGCTGCATTAGGTGATCGTTTTCAAAACGTGAAGCGGACCGCCCCGGAAACCCCAGGATCGGGAGCAGGACCCCCCCCCCCCGATTAGTCGGTTGCGTCTGTCGGAGCGAGCGGTGGGGGAGGTCGGGGAGGGGGGGGGGGGATACCCTGACTGTGGCCGCTCACCCGGTAGTGCCGCAGGGTGTTGATGCGCAGCCAGCGTCCCTGCACCACCGATGTCAGGTCCTCATCCGACAGCGTGAACTGCCCGGCGAACGTGCTCCGCCACTCTGCCGACGGCACGCGCATCCGTGAAGAGTCGCTTAGCATGCACAAGGCCAAGGCGAAGCCCTGCAATTGCTTGCTCACGCCACTGCTGGCAGAAGGGCCTCCCTCAAGGGGCCTCTACTGTACAGACTTGTGCCGGCGGTGGTGGCGGCAGCGGTGACGGTGATAGTGGCGACGTACCGAGCTCCACGGTGTCGACGCTGGGCCGCTGCGAGTACGGCACGTTGCGGTACACCTGGTCCAGGATCTTGTCCTTCACCTGGCCGATGGAGTCGCAGTCCAGAACCCGCACGATGACGGGACCCTCCTCCCCCGAGTTCTCCACCGTCGCGTTAATCACCTGCCAGTCGGTCAGCAATGGACACACCGGCTCAATCCCAGACTAAACTCAACCTCACCATTGAGCCATGATAACGACCTCCCCCAAGATGTCGCCAACTCTCATAGTCCTGCGCTTTAACAATCAAACCGGGACCTGTGCATAAGCCGATTTGATCGCTTAATCCCGGGCAGTGGACATTCACTAATTTTGATCACCAGCTGTGAATTCCATCCAGGGACACATGTTGCCCGAGCCCACTTACTTCTATGAAGTTAATAAAACGTCTCAAACCCATGCACCATCAGTTGCAGAGATGATTCCGACAGGCTGAAGAGACAATGATTAATTATCAACGTGTATGAAATGGAATTGCAATCAAAAGTTTCCGTGACTGGAAAATCGCTTTGTTCGAATCTACATTGGTGTGGATCTGGGCAAGTGGCACGATGGCTATAGTTCACAAATTTCAATTAGCGTTGAAAAAACATTAAAGATTTGACTTCTAGCATGCTTGTTGCAGGTTAATATGAACTTTGTATTCTCACCCAAACCTGCAGTCCTACTATAGCTGCAGATTTCCGAATGAAAACATTTAATCAATAAACACAGAGTCAACACGTTATCACGGTGGTATAATCGTACGATAATCTACGTGAAATGCAGTCAACCCTTCGGCAAGGAGAACGGACTACACAACGCAACATCAATATCCTACAAACGTGGAATAGCACGAGAAATGTCGCTTGATAGTTTATACCAGCCAGTGCGAGACAATAAAATGCCGCGCTCTGGAGCACGACATCCACGATATCACCCAGAGCATGGATTCAATTCACTGCGTCCCTGTAATTGGACGTGGGAGATAGCGTCGAGACAATCGTGGCAGCGGCGGCTTCATCCCCGCCCACGCGTCTCCTATGGGCCCACCAGACTCTGGTAGTCGACGTCCTCGCCGAGTAGGCGGGTGTCATTCAGCGAGTACTTGGCCTTGCGCAGGACGCCATCCACGGGGCCCTTCTCCACCTGCTGCTTGATGGCGCGGAACAGCATGAACAGGGGCTCGCCCGCCGTGTCCTGTGGTGGCATGCGTGCGGACCAAAACACAGCCGAGGCCACAAAATGGTCAACGGTGACGCGCGGGCGAGCGGCGCGGGGGCGTCAATGGAAAGTTTAATGGAGGGGGGGTTCCTTCCGGAAGGGTGGGGAAAAGTACAAAAATTGTTACAAATACGCCGATGATCCATGGTGGGATAATCCGGATTGCAGATTAATCCTGCGCGCGATAGAATGAATTCAATAGCTGTTTGAACAAGATAACTCTCGGTATATTGCAAGCGTGAGCTTGCTGCTAGAGAGCTATTTTGGCTCTTTTTTTTGGCCCTATTATTTTGTCTCCCCCCCCCGCCCACGCCCCCCTAGAATGTTGTTGCCTCATTGTGGTGTCAGTGACATGGAAACCGCATGTCTTGATTTTTTTCTATCTAAAGTAGACCTCGGACGGACGATAACGCCGGTTTAATTTTCAGTTGCGTTGCACGCAAGGGCAAGCGGCCCAGCTCCCTAGGGACCACAAACATGGTCGGAAAATAAACCGCCTTCTCTAAGAGAAACAAAAAATAAACCGATGATGCGGCACATTCTACGCCTTTACCCCATTCTGTATAGTTAAACGATGTGTGCTTATAGCCTCTCTTGTGTACACTTTGCAATATCTGTGTTTTTCATAATAAACGTTTTTGGGTTAGATCGCATTATTTATAAATGTGTCGTAACCCTCCACCACCCGACACGGCCAATCAGCAAAAAAAGTGTCACGTTGACAAAAGACAATTAGTTCACTACTTTAGCCCACCGGTGTGTTGAAGAGTGAATCCACAACATTTACAGTTTGAGTACGACGTTTCGCTGGTAATTACATCCAGCATCATCGGGCAATTCGCCAGAATGGTGAAGCCCTCACTTGCTCCCGGTCTTAAATAGAGCAGCAGGGTGACGTCATCTTTTAACTCATTCATCTGTGTTTTTGTTTCATCTAAGCCATGCCCCCCCCCCCCCCATCGCCACCCCTTGCCATTACCCCAGACAACTGAGAGTTTGCTGTATGGCGACTAATGCTAATTTGTAGGGGTTGTTCCGGAAGGGCTAAAGGAATTAAATTTGCATGTATATTTATATAAAGGACCAAAGGGTATTTATATAAAAGTCAAATGAACATTGAGACAGTGCTCACCTCCTGTTCACAGCCCTGAGCCAGTCACATTTGCAAATGTGATTTGTAATTATAATCATTAACCGTGTATCGATAGTTCAATGTGAACGTGCCATTTTATTGAAGGGCTGCTGCTGCTGTGTGACATTATCTTGGTTTGGTGTGGTGCTGTTTTGTTGTTGTTTTTGCTGCCTCGCCCAACCTTAATAAATCGGACTTAAATCATTAATTGACTTATTACTTATTTTTATGAAGTGACTTTGCATACCATTTTCTCTATTTTGCACTCCGTTCATTTTTTTTATTGTTTGCTGTTGTTAACTTGTTGATCTGCCCATGCTGGACATCTGTGAACAAAGAGCTTTATCGCTCATCGGATTCCTCCAGCCTATATAAGGATTTTGATTCTATGGCGCCAAGAACCATATGAGGACTTCAGCAAAGTGGGTTGACATTGGGCTTGTGCATCATTAGTTAAATTACTATCTAAGTATTATTTCTAGGATCACTGTACCGTGGGGACCTTTAAGAAGCGCCTCACCTTGAGGAATTTGTAGAGGCACACAGACATCCAGTTTGTCAACATCTTCTCTGCCACCGTCTCCGTCCTGCCACACGGCACAGGGGGGTGCACACACGCACGTTTGAACGTGTGGAATTCACCAATGGGCAGATGAACTGCATGATGAGTGCGGAAACGGTTGTGTAAATTAATGATTTGACTCATGGGCAAGTGGGACGAGTGGGTAAATGAACAAATTTGGGGGCAAAATTAAAGGAAGGCTTCAATTCGACGGCTGCACGCATGATGAATAGCGACAAGTTAATCAACAGGTGTGAAAACGAATGAGCAGTCTAATAAATGGATGGGTGGTTAAATAAACGATTGCTTAAGTTGCAAATTAAGCGCTGATTAAATGAATGGCTGGGCTCGCTGAGAAATTGTAAGAGATGGAAATTAATTAACCGCCAAAAAAAACCCCTCCTCGGTTCGTGAATTCATGAGCAGGCTGATGGGCTCGCGTTACTGGCAGGCGACTGGGGAGCGGGGCTGATGAACGATGGGGAAGGAGGGGGGGGGGGCTGATGAACGATCGGGCAAGGGGGCCGTCCGAACCGCGAAGCGCTCACCTGCGCAGCATGAGCTTGGGGTTCTTGGCCACATACTGCCCCACCAGGTCTCCCAGCAGCGTCTTGAGGATGTCCGTGTAGTACTCCAGCTTGTCCTGCAGCGCTACCGTGAGCAGCGACGCCACGCAGCCACGGTCCCGCGCCGAGAACTTGGGTTGTCCCTCCAGCGTGTGGATCATCTGCAGCGATGACGACCGAGTCCGAAAGGGAACCCCCCCCCCCGGGGGAGTGGGGTGGTCCCGATTACGGTTGCCGCGATGTCAAATTTCACACTATGGGGGGCAGTGACAATGCCCAGCGGGAGCGCGTCCGCCGCTCGTTGCAAAGGTTTACGGTTCGAATCCGGCAGGCCGCCCGCGGTTACTAATTTGGGAGGAGTAATTAGCCGAAGAAATACACGCCACAAATTACTCAGTTGGGATTAAACAGAGCAACGTTGTGCAACTGCTGCAGATCGTGTCTGTGAAGCTGCAGAACGTGTCTGAGGCGTAGCGCTTTCTTTCGTGATAGCCTTGCACTATAAGCATGGAGCAAATACAGTATCAAACATAATAAACTGTCTATACTTGATTTGGAGCTTTTGTGACTCCAGAATTACTCTTAGGTTCTTCCTGTAAAATCACGTATAAAGAAAAATAAATTAGAGAATTTATTTTTCTTTCTATGTAAACTATTTAATTTATTTTTCTTTCTACGTGACTTTACCGACAGAACCAAAGAGTAAACTGTCTATATTTAAAATACCAATAAAATTTTATGATGTGAGGAATGTCATGATATCAGCTTCCCATAACTCTGTAGTTGAATTTATGGATTTGCTTTTGTGCTTTGCTGTGCATCCAGTAAGATTGAAGGCAATTTCATTTATTCAAACGCATAACCTTGTCAGAATTGATGAAAAAATAAGAATCACCAATTGGCCAAAAAGGTCCCATAGATATCCTGGAATAATTATGAGCGCAATTGCAACTTCTGAATGACTAATGCACATGCTGTCCAGTAAAGAATAATTAAACAACTCAATGACCTCCGAGAAAGAGACGGTGTCAAATAGTCGCCATGCCGTCAATCACTCGTTTTAAACAACGGACAATCACAATTTATTTACAACTTTAATTACGGACCTCGCATTGAGTTTCTTATGCCATAAATATTCAGGCAGGAATTAATTTATTCAAAGACAATCACAATAACGATGTTTTGAAAAACGGACGGTACGATCATTGTGGACCTCGCATCGCGTGTCAAACCGGAATATCGCCACGTCAGGGCGGGCTGACTTCTCAGCGAGAAGGAAATACGGGATAAGGGTTTTTTAGAGGTCCGAGTGGCAACCACTAACTCAGCCCCAAGCCTCCAAGTATTAAATGTAATTTAGTGATGCGCTTTTAAATGAAAAACTGTAAATCTGTAAATTAATTTCTCTTTTTATGCCTGCCATCAAATCACTATAAATATGCAAGCTCGGCAGACCTCAGAAGCCAAGCAGATGTAAAAGCCTGGTCAGTTAGTAATTGAATGAGAGGATTACTTGGTAATACTAGGTGTTTTTAGCATGGGCTTCAAAAGGTGGACAGGTAATGGGAGTACAGCAATGTATTGAATCTAACTGTGCAGAGTTTAAAGTGTTATCTCCATATGTGTATGGGCTTCCGGCCAAATGCCACCCACTTATTGATGGAACTGGCCAAACATCCCAGTGCATGATCCTCCTAAAAATATGAGTCTTCTATACTCAGTGAGGCATATCCGGATATATTGAAGGAATTTTTTTGTATTCTTATTTGTTGTTAATTTATGTCAGCGAATCTCTCTGAGAGCCTTTTCTCATGAGACCTGCCTCTGGGTGGTTTGTTCGTGGGACATTCACATGAGAATGCAGTCGGAAAACTTAAAATATATTTCAAGGAGAACATCAACAGGGGAATAGGAACACTGGCTAAAAATACTCCACCAGCATTATCATAAACAAACGGCGCATAAATAGCAATCACACATCCAAGCCATGCATTTCAGGCAATGGTGAAAATCAGTGCACACCAAATTGTTAAATTCTGTCACCATCTACACCACAATTTTGCAGCTGCCCCATTACTGCCCTGAAGAAGGACCTTCACCTAAAACGTTGGCTCAACATCTGTTACAAAGCAGTGTTCATGATAGATGGCAGTGAATGGCTTCATGAACTAGATCCGTTTAGAAAAATATTATTATATCCTGATTGTGATTGCTCATAGTACTTTTCTTAAGTATTGTGTACTTCACGTTTGAAAAATAACACATGCAAACATTTAAGTTGTCAATTATTGGCCGTCATAAATCAAACTAACGGTTTGTTAATTATTTTCCGCAGTGGTTGAGAGCACAGCACTGATACTACATCATCATTTACAATGTAAATGTTATTAATGTTGTTGTCCTCTCCCCGCACCACTGATTAACACCGTTGGCTACATACTGTGCGAAATAAATTCAACATACATAAATTAAATTAATTAGTTGTCTTACCGACAGTAAATGCATTATCGATTGCAATAATTAGGAGCCTTATGGCAGATTTTTGTAGAGGCAAATGCAGCTGAATAACTTTTAAGGAATCTTAATTTGTATTGGGAGTACAGCAAAGCACAATAACAATACAATTACAAATACATGGGACACTGATATTGCGGTCAGTCACACGGTGAAAGTTGATATCGTATTGAAATGTGAAAAATTATGTCATGGCAACCTGTCTACACCGCCAGTGGCCAAGACATTCCCACGTAGGGCAATTTACATTGCGCCCAGTAAAATCGAACAGAACCACGTTAACTAGTTCAGAAGAAAACCGTGATGTCCATTGGGTGAGCTACACACTTTATAATCACTGATCGTTCCATGTACATTAGAGATACGCGGTCTCTATTAGCCTGGTGTGTGTACAGCTGGCCTATGACCAGATGTTAACTACCTCGCTTGGTGTACAAGAGGTCGTGGGGTTCGATTCAGACCCTGACGCCTGTGACATTTGGTGTTTACATGTTCTCCCCGCGTTTGCGTGGATTTTTCTCCTGGTCCTCCAGTTTTTCCCTCCACAATTAAAAACAAGCGTTTAGAGTAATTGGCTGCTACAATTTTCCACGTGACGATAAGCCACTTCATTGAGCTATCATTTGTGATAGCTCAGTCACTTCTGAAAAAGGGCTACATAGAGCTCAGTGGACCTTACCTGGTAAAATAAGAAAATAGTTCGGTTAAGTATTTGGCAGCTATACATTTCCACGTGATAAGAAGCCACTTCGTTGAGCTATCATTTGTGATAGCAAAAGTCACTTGTGAAAAAAAGAATGAAATTGCTCAGTGGGCCTTACCTGGAAAGGTAAAAAAATAAAGTAAATCACCTGGAATGCGACCGATCTCGGCAAAGCACTGCCACCCCCGCTTGCGTGAGCAGCTCCGTGCTGGGGCCACTAACCGTGGTGAGGAAGAGCTTGCTGTTGAGGAGGTTCGAGAGGTGGAAGAGGCCCTGCTCCATGGTGGCTCGGCGCGAATCCGCCACAGACAGACTCTTTGCCAGGGGCGCCTCCTGGCCCGGGAAGAAGATGCGCTCGCGATAGGTGCGGTACTCGAGGAAGGGGATGCCTGTCACCACCAGGTCGCTCGACATGTCTTCCATGTCCGTCATCAGGTCTGGGGGAGGGGGTGGGGGGGGGAGGCAGCGGGGCATCGTGGGTAAGAGAGTACAGGTGAGGAGGGTTGCAGTGCAACTGCAGCAATGCGTGGAGAGATTTATATTTGCCGATTTTCCCCCCTAAATTGTATTAGAATTGCCGTGTAACGAGAAAGCAATTTCATTTTGGAACACTTGCAGGTAAGCCGTGTCTCCAATCTGTCACGGAACTACTTAAGCATCTACTTAAATCGGCCCCTTTATCTACAAGAGGGTCACGGTGTTTTTTTTTTTTCCCTCAAGATCTAATCATTACATCTTGTAACACAGTGGTCAAGTTGGTGCACGCAAACGTAACCAACGTGGTGTGCGAGCCTTGAGAATAAGTGTGGGCCATACCGGAGAACTGCTTCTTGCACTGATCGCGCACACTGATCTCCAGGTCCTCCAGCTGGTTCTGCACCTTCCTGTAGTCACGCAGGGCCTTTTTGCTCTTCCTCCTGATGGGACCACGGAAGGGGCACAGCGGATGCATCTCAGGGGACTGTGACCAATCAAGCAGAGCCAACCCACGTGCAAGAAAGAGGATCCAACGCCAACTCATCCAATACCCACCTTGTGCCTCCCACCGAGGCATCCGGCCACCCCTGAAGAGTTTGCTCAGATCAGGAGTCGGCTCTGGATCCGCGCGCGGCTCTTTAAAGACCGCCTCGTGACACGTCATGTATTGAGGCTCGTCTCGTATTCACATGCATTGCGGCTCTTGAAAGAGTGAGTTGTTGTTTTTTTTTTACAGAATTTGAAAGGAAATGGCTCCCTCTTGTTATTTTGCTTGCCGACCCCTGGCTTAGACGCACATCATTTAGATGCTGACAACTATGAGTACATTCATTTGGCTGGGAGGAGAAAATGGAACAGCTATGCCACACGTAGTGGTGGATATTGAAGGAAGGAGGAGAGCAATCAGGGTGGCCACAGAAGGCGATCAGAGGTCATCCCGGTCTCCTTCACCTGTAGACGACAATGACGATGATGACGAGAAGAGCCACGATCCCCGAGCCAGCGCCCGCCGCGATCTGCGCCTCGAGTGGGAAGACGACGCCCGAGTCCGTCTCGTACTCCACGGCGCCCAGGTGGTACTCGCGGTTTCCCATCACCACCTGCGGCAAGGTCGGGCCACAGGGCAGGGGCAGGGTTCACATATTTGGCGAATTTGATTAATTGTCATTTAAACGCATCACAGAACTCGTATGACGTGGGTCTTGGGTGACCTCTGGAAGCAAAGGAAAAACAAAGAGGGCTTAAAAAACTGTTGAATAAAAGGCGTAGAAGCAAAAAAAAAAGACAGAACGTGTTGGGGTCGGTGTCTCGCCAGCTCACCCGGAACTGAGCGGGCTCCTGTCCGTCCGGTGGCTGAGCTGGCGGCTGGCAGTAGAGGTGCTGCATAGACAGGGTCTTGATGACGCACTCGGCCGAACCGAGGAAGGCCCTCACCTCGCCCTGGCCTAACGCCCGGTCCAGTTCATGTCCCTGCTCGCCGTAAATGCGTGCACGGTGGGGGTGGGGGTGATTCGTGTGGACATTCGCAATTCGTGATGATCACGATACATTTTAGGGCATGTATGTTTCACAATATTTATCAGGTGGTCAGGTGGCCATGTGTAATAGAATAGGATTAAGATCCTGAATTGCATTTCTACTCACACCCAATTTTACACGAGGTTTTTCATCTGGATTGAGTTGAGGCCTTCAGCATAGTAACCAATGATTGCACGGTAGTGCAAGTAAGGGGGCCACAAGGCCTGGGATTCATGGCGTCACTGTGGCATAGCACGATGCCAGCACCGCTGAGAACCTCAGTGCAAACCCCACGCTCTCTGCAGAGATAAAAAAAAAGATGTTGTTTGGCGAGTTTAAAGGTCTGGGCTCAGTCACAAATTGTCCACGGACAGATTGTTTGCCAATCCACTTCGGGAAATGGGCCTCATCATGGCGTGCATATCATGGGAATTGTTTAACCGTACTTCACCACACTGGTCAGTGCAGGTTAGTGAAGGCAGGGCGCGCACACATTGGAGCACAGTATAATGCATCAATGGCATTGCTGCACTGCCCTCTGACGACAACCATAACTTCAACCCTCTGTTTTTCTGCCCCGAACCCTGACCTAAGGTTTATAAAATAACAAACTGACTGTGTTTGACGACAACACACTTCCTCTCAGCCACCATTAGTGGAGTTGGTGGGGGGAAGAGGAGGTGGGGGGGGGGGGGGGGGTGGTGACAACGGAGCTCGGCCGTGCGATAGCGACGACGGCGATCGGCGCGAAAGACCACCGTTCGCGACGACGTCCGCGCGGCGTGGTCACCTCCACGGTGATGAGGCTGCCCGGCTTGTGGCGGAACGGCGAGTCGGGGCTGTCTCGGTTCAACGGGAAGATCTCGGCGTCGGGGAAGTAACGGAAGGGCTTCCCGTCGCGCGGGGACAGCACCAGCCCGTCCATGCGGATGAGCACGTCGGCCTGCAGCTTTGCGGGCGTGGAGGTCGCGCGGCCCGCGTTGCCGCCGTCGCCGCCGTCGCCGCCGTCGCCGCCGCCGCCGGCGGTCAGGGCGGCCCGGACGTCCGGGGAGAGGCACAGCATGCGGTTCTCCGCCTGCACCGTGCAGCGGCCGTACGGGGGCTCCTGCGATCGTCACCGATGCTCAGGTAAGCTGCGAGCGTCCGCGAACGAAACGCCGTCGGGCGCGAGATGGAGTCGCGCTTCTCCAAAGCGCACAGCTTAAAGGGTTCGCCCTGCAACTGCTTTTGTTGGCGTTATTAGCGGAGTGGTTGCGCAAACGACGCTGCGGTCCGCAGAGAGCGGATCGAGTGACGTAGAGTCTGTCTCCACCGTGAGCAACTGGTTGAGCAAATGCTCGCAACCGATTGCAGATACGTCCAGATATAAGCGACTCAGATGCATGCAACCAAAGTTGCACGAGTTCTCATCCAAGCCCCACGGTGTAAAGTGCAGTCTCTAACTCTCATCCACTATCTCTCTAGCCTCTTTATTAATTTTTACAAAGAAGGGCCGTTGCCCGAAACGTCACGTGCTATACATGTTCGTTTAAAGGCCTCTGTGTTATTGACGAACGTATTGAATTTCACGTTGCACAGCCGATCGCTCGGGTGTAAGCCCAACTTTTACACTCCGTTAGGGTCCGCGTTAGGCAGCAGGACTGGTCAGCAGCAAAGTGGCTTGAGACTTGTCGCCAGGTAAGTTTGCCACCTCTGAGGTACAAAAAAATATCACGGAAAGGAGAAGAACATCTCACGATACCAGGAGAGGGGAGAAAGAATAAGCATCGTCTAGAGTGGTATGCTGTTTTACGTAACGGACAAAAAACGAGACTTTCAAGGTCGCGGGTAGACTCACAGATGTCCCGGGACGGCTACCTAAAGAAGGAGAACGATCCTGGGAAAACCGGGAGAGGGTGGCAAAGTGCCGGGAGCCGTGGCATACAAGTGAAGCAATCGTGCTGCTATCCCAGCCAATCAGAAACGAGCAATTTAACACACTATGGGCGCAATGATGCATCGAATGTTGCGGGCATTTTGCGTCTCGACCAACGCATCCGTGGGCGCAGACATGAAACGTGAGAATAACGAAAGTAAAAATCGACATTACGCGTGGTTTTAGAGAGTTGATAAAAAACAGATAAGCAAGCACTCTGTGGGGACAACGCAAGTCCTGTTAAACTTCACGTTCGATTCACTGGTCAATGGCCAAAAAAGGCTGCAAAGTTGCTTAACAAAAATCATTGGGACTGTTTATAGTCCAACCGATGACTATTTTTAATACTACTAACAATGTTTTATAGTGTATACAGTGAGGGAAAAAAAGTATTTGATCCCCTGCTGATTTTGTACGTTTGCCCACTGACAAAGTAATGATCAGTCTATAATTTTAATGGTAGGTTTATTTGAACAGTGAGAGACAGATAAACAAAAACAATCCAGAAAAACGCATGTCAAAATGTTATAAATTGATTTGCATTTTAATGAGGGAAATAAGTATTTGACCCCCTCTCAATCAGAAAGATTTCTGGCTCCCAGGTGTAACGAGTTGAGATTAGGAGCACACTCTTTAAGGGAGTGCTCCGAATCTCAGCTTGTTACCTGTATAAAAGACACCTGTCCACAGAAGCAATCAATCAATCAGATTCCAAACTCTCCACCATGGCCAAGACCAAAGAGCTCTCCAAGGATGTCAGGGACAAGATTGTAGACCAACACAAGGCTGGAATGGGCTACAAGACCATTGCCAAGCAGCTTGGTGAGAAGGTGACAACAGTTGGTGCGATAATTCGCAAATGGAAGAAACACAAAAGAACTGTCAATCTCGCTCGGCCTGGGGCTCCATGCAAGATCTCACCTCGTGGAGTTGCAATGATCATGAGAACGGTGAGGAATCAGCCCAGAACTACACGGGAGGATCTTGGCAATGATCTCAAGGCAGCTGGGACCATAGTCACCAAGAAAACAATTGGTAACACACTACGCCGTGAAGGACTGAAATCCTGCAGCGCCCGCAAGGTCCCCCTACTCAAGAAAGCACATATACATGCCCGTCTGAAGTTTGCCAATGAACATCCGAATGATTCGGAGGACAACTGGGTGAAAGTGTTGTGGTCAGATGAGACCAAAATGGAGCTCTTCGGCATCAACTCAACTCGCCGTGTTTGGAGGAGGAGAAATGCTGCCTATGACACCAAGAACACCATCCCCACCGTCAAACATGGAGGTGGAAACATTATGCTTTGGGGGTGTTTTTCTGCTAAGGGGACAGGACAACTTCACCGCATCAAAGGGACGATGGACGGGGCCATGTACCGTCAAATCTTGGGCGAGAACCTCCTTCCCTCAGCCAAGGCATTGAAAATGGGTCGTGGATTGGTATTCCAGCATGACAATGACCCAAAACACACGGCCAAGGCAACAAAGGAGTGGATCAAGAAGAAGCACATTAAGGTCCTGGAGTGGCCTAGCCAGTCTCCAGACCTTAATCCCATAGAAAAATCTGTGGAGGGAGCTGAAGGTTCGAGTTGCCAAACGTCAGCCTCGAAACCTTCATGACTTGGAGAAGATCTGCAAAGAGGAGTGGGACAAAATCCCTCCTGAGATGTGTGCAAACCTGGTGGCCAACTACAAGAAACGTCTGACCTCTGTGATTGCCAACAAGGGTTTTGCAGAGGGGTCAAATACTTATTTCCCTCATTAAAATGCAAATCAATTTATAACATTTTTGACATGCGTTTTTCTGGATTTTGTTGTTATTCTCTCTCACTGTTCAAATAAACCTACCATTAAAATTATAGACTTATCATTTCTTTGTCAGTGGGAAAACGTACAAAATCAGCAGGGGATCAAATACTTTTTTCCCTCACTGTATATATGTGAACTGCTTAATGCCTGTAAAACATGCCAATTGTCAGCAACTACCTATACAATAACACGACAACGGATTAAAAGTGTTGGATTTCAACTTGCCTGTCCAGTCAAATTAACACGGCGGTACATAAATGAACATCCATCAAATTGTCTTGAATGGAAAGTTAATGCATGCCGAAGGACTTAAGTAGTTTACCCTAGCAGAGCCGTGTTTAAACATGGATGTGTGGAAAGTTACAACGTGGGAGTCTTGTATGAAATAAATTCACAAATGTTGCTCGAACACATTTGTTGAATTATTCATGACAGTGCCTCCCTCTGACTTTCTCCAACTATTTTCCCATCTCAAGTTCCCCCCCCCCCCCCACCAACTTATTTTTGCAAGTCCTAACATCCGATACATAACCGATGTTTTGACGTGCAGAGGAATACAAATTCACTCGCTCAGCAGAAGAAAATTAATCGTTGTTGTTTCATTTTGCTTATCACTACAATCCAACAATTTCTTTGCTATTTATTTTGTCCCATAAGAACAACGCATCTGCCTTTCATTAGCGGCAAACCCCCCAAAAAAAAAATCTTTAACCCGCCGGATGTTGGAGCCACGGGGTGGCTGGGTTGAACATTTTTCAATTTTGGCCACGGTCCAGTGTGAGTGAGAGTTCTCGCTAATTGTGTTCTTCCAGGTACAGGGTGGAAGTTGGGGGGGAGGAATGGAGAGAAACCTGTAAAACCCAAAAGCTAACATTACATGTGGCTTTATACACTCATCTAACAAAGAGGATTGAGAACCTGGAAGGCGATCAATAATTGATCCACAGCCGCAACATACCCCCATATGCATCAACTTAGAGGCTTCAGAATCTGCATGCGAAACGTCCCTCAGAAGCAAACAGACAGACGGCAGAACAACAATATACCCTGGACTTGGCAATAAAAGATCTCCTGCTATCCAGTTGTCGAAATGTAAATATCCACCATCGTCTCCCCTCTGCGGAAACCTTGTAGTACAGGAACAGGAACTGTTCTGAAAGGTGCTGGTTTACACATTTGATGTTCTGAGAAGTGCCGGGATGGCTAGACTGCCATATACCGGCCCCATTTCAACCGCTGCTGTTGCTACCCTAATGTAAACGTAAAAAAATTTGATTTAAAGCTTTCGTGACTGAAGTCATTCATATTCTTAGCTCTTTCGGTAAAGTCACGTTGAAGGGAAACACTTCTTTCAAATGTTTCTTGCTGTTGGTTTTTCACACCTGATGATGACCGTTTGTGTTATGGTCGAAACGTCTTGAGAATTTTTGTTTCATATATATTATTATTTTATTGTTTCCCTTCAACGTGACTTTACCGAAAGAGCTAAGAATATAACGTAAACAATAATAACATTATGTTCTACAACGCAATTGCTTCGAACGTTGTACAATATTTTGTACAACGTTTAATCCAGGTGTCCCAAGAGAGTGATATTTTTGTTTCAGGGAGGGCTCTCACTTGCTTCTAAAAATAAATAAATGCCAAGAGCTTACTGCCCGCGAGAAACACCGGTTGTATGTACCCCTCTATCACCACAAGGACGTGTACGGTACCCTCGACAGCCCACTGAGGCACGTGATCAGTTTTGCATGAGAGATGTAGAGGAGACCCTCCTGGAACATGTATATGCTTACATCATAGGTGCGGGGGGGAAAAAAAAAAAAACTTCTTAATATCGGATGAGTTAGACGTTACACGTACAACAAAAAAACCCTAAAAGCAAATGAGCTTGGGCAGGACCCGTCGCCGAGGTGGGTTTGACGACCAGCGGTCGAGGCTAACCCTGGGGTGGCAGCCAAAGGAGGGATCGTCTCCCTGGAGGATGTCCACCGTGGAACTGGAGCGGTAAAATCAGCTTGTGCGCGCGCAGGCGCTGGACGGACCGTTTGATCCCGAGATCGTGAGTTGTCGATGGCTTGAGGAACCTCCAGTGGATTGACCATGGCTGATGACGATAATGATGAAGAATGGTAAACCACCGTTTACTCTTGCAGACAATAATGCGGCAGAAAATATGACATCCACCTCGTAGTGAAGAGCACTTTGCTAATTCCCCTCTGATACAAACCCTGACTTAAAATTGTGGGGGACCACATGCAACATTGGTTGAGTAGCGGGCATGCTCTAACAACTAACATATTTAATTACCAATTTAAATTTCACTCAGAAGTCACTCGGAGGAAAATAAATCAGGCAGGGGGCCCAGGTGCACATTAGGCACCACCTGCAGCCATGCCAATAGTGGCAGGACTGTGCACCGACGTCTTGGTGATCCAGCACCGGCGAGACCATGAGTTCATCGGCATCAAATGAATGTCAATCATTTGCCCAGAAATGCCTCACCAAGTCCCAAGACACATTTCGGGAGTGTATTGCATCGGCAGCGATTAAATCAGCTCCTGTGCACGTGCTAGGTGGGTCATTACATCGTGGAATTTGTGACAGGTGGTTGGTGGCTGCTTGGAGAGGCCTTCATCTAGCAGTGGATTGAACACGGATGGCGATGATGATGATGACAAGATGTGGCCACGCAAGGTGCTCTGTGACGCCGGGGTATTTAAGCGGCCAACGAATACAAAATCCTCATCCGCGAGAATTCGAGATGTCAACCGAAGTCGCCATGTTGGCGAAGCTGCGCCAGAGCGCTGAAGAAGGTGGCGGCGGGGGTTCTCACGCTGCTCGTGGCGGGCTGGGCTCGTGGCACGCGGGCCGCGGGGACGCCGGAGGCCGAGGAGGCACCGGACCCACGCACGCGCACGAACATACGCGCGCTCTGCACCGAGTCCAGCCGCTCCCCCAACACCGTGATATTGCGGCCACCACTGTCGGCACAACAACAAACATAACGGGAGGTGAGTGCAAGTGCGTGTGTGTGCGAGTGTGGTGACAGCAAGTGCTCGCTAGCAGCGCTTGCCCCAAAAGTCTGGTAAGGCGGTATATGGAAGATCTTTGTTTTTGTGGTGACAGTTGTGACAGTGGTCATTATGTCCAATGACGACTGTGATAATCGACGATGATTTATCAGGTTGTCACTAATAACAATACAAAAGTAACATGATGATGCCATCGCCAATACCGATGATTGTGGTGCTGATTTTAGTTGTAATGGTGGTGGTGCTGATCATGCTTATATTGCTGGCGGTAGTGCCGATGACGCCCGATGGTTGTGGGAACGGCACTCATGATGCTGGTGGTTGTTGTGGCAGTGATGGTGGTTGCTGTGCTGCTGCCGGCATCGTGGCGATGGCTAAACTGCTTCTGCCAACATTGGTGGTGGCGGTCTCGGTAACGGTGAAGCTGAAGCTGGCAGCTGTGTTTGCGTTTGTGGGCGTTCTATGCCGGGACCTGTAGAAGCTCTCCAGCGGAGACAAGGACACGACCACGGGGTCCGGCCAGTACTGAAACGGCTCCAGCAGCATCCTCTCCGCCCTGGGACCAAACTCAACGCGCACCGTCACCCGACCCGGATCCGGGGCTGCGCCCGTCACGCACACGAGCTGCCCGCCCTGCCACCTCTCCAGCCTGCAACAGACAGGAACGCACAATCCATGTGGGGGTAAGGGGCCAGCGGTTGGGTTATCACGTGTGCGAGCGCGTCATAAATCGCAGAGATTTAGCAAATTTCCACTCACGCCGTGGTAAATCTCACATCGTTCACGGCCACGGCACGAGTTGTAAGGGGTAAAAAAAAAAAAGCCAGTTCTCCATAAAGTTGACAACCGAATCAATTTCCATGGGGAATTTCCAAAAGTGTGCCATCTCCTTTGAAGTGGATGTTAAAGAAGGTGCAACGTCAAAAGCAAGAAGATATTTTTGTGTTGGTATAATTATCAGGAACGTCATGATGCATCGATTCCAATATTATTTTACGGACAACAAACATCTATCAAACCGTGTCCCCAAGAACCAGTAATTTAACATAAGTGCAAATCAGAAGGGGAATTAAATGCATTTAGAATTATCGGCATGTGGAGGAAACGAGAATGTACAAACTTCACACAACCATTACAAACAAATAATTCATGGAATCGCAGTGGCGGGTGAGGAACCATGACAATGCCCCTTACAACGATACAGACGCAGATTTAAACAGCTAAACAACACAACATTGTTGCAAATATGCAAAATGCTTTCTAAATATAAGTGGCCTACAAACAGTCCCTTGCAAACATGATAACGAATCCCAGCGGATTTTCGCCTGGTTAAATAAATAAAGAATCTGAATTAAATGTTGCACTTATATTTCTGTCCGTTTGTTGTCCGACTGCTCACCAACTAAACTGATAATTGATTTGGTCAAAGGTGTCCCTCACAGTGTAATTATGTTCATTGTATCAATGATATACTAATTTTATACGTAAACCAATTAATTCGCCTATAATATACAAAGCACATCACATGATTATGAAACTGAAAAAAATAAGATACGAGAATTCGTCCCCGACTCTACACCTCCAAATCCCAATATAACAGCAAAATACACTACACTCAATTGTGCCACAGCATGGGATCCAATTGTTGCAGAAATAGTTGCACTCGAAAACCAATCGCGCAACAAAAGTGCTCAGCGATCAGGGAGGGTTAGTCCACACAGAGCCCCCTTGCAGCCACACAAGGCAGCAGGAGGCAACGATGGTTATTATTGCACCGACGATTCCCAAGAGGAATAAAAACCAACATACAACCGTCCCGTTGTCCCGCAGCCGTCACAAATTCTACTGGCCGCAACTTTAGCTTTTTGAGTTGGTGGTGGTCTAAAATAGACGCTCTGACAGCATTGCACACGAGGTGAGCGCAGCATGGCCGGTGATGTCACTCGGAGCGCTCGGCAAGGTGGGAGGGGACCAAGCCATTGTTCGCACGATTGTACCTTACTTCCGTTTGCTAATTAACGTTTATGAGTATTTTTACTCTTAAAAAGGCACCTCGGCATCATCATCTCCGGCAGTTCCAGACACCCAGTCACCTCGCTGGTTGCCTCTAGAAAGTGCTCACTACCCCACCCCCCGCCCGCTCCCTGCCCGTGTACACATGTGGCGTTCGGGTCGAGCTTTCAAGAGCAACTCTCCTCTGGGCGCTCTCTCCTCCCCAACATGTGTTTCACATTCGCTTCAGCATCCTGCTGCCTGACCCCTCCCCCACCATCCCCCACGCTCCCCCACTCCCTAAAGCTCCCCTCCCCCCGCCACTCTCCCTAGCTACGTCCGACGGATGAGTCGAGGCAGAGCTGGAACTGGAAGCCTCGTCTCCGCCGAATCTGTGTTGCACGTTTCCCTGCAGCATATTCTGGAATTTTAACAATGCACCCCCCCCCCCGCCTCTCCACACACCCCCACAGCTAAACCACCACCACCTGCCCCCCCCCTGCTCTCGCCATTCCACCATGCTTCTAGTGAGGTGTCAAAAAAAATGTTGAACTCTAAATCTGTAGAATGTACTTTATGTTTGAAAATAAAATACTATTTGTTCCTTGGTGGGGGGGGGGGGAAATACTTGCGCACATTTCCCATTGAAAAGAGTTTGCAAGCCTCGTCCACATTTCCTGATGCTTACAACTGTGGCCTCAACGTAGTTACAGAACCCAGGGGGATAGCAGTCTACACTGGTGCAGGTGTTGAGCGGGAAATTTGTAAGAAGTTGAGCTCGTGTCCCAGAGGATACAAATTCGCACGTGCATGCAATCGTGCGCACGTTTGGACGCGCGCAGCCGTGTGCGCAAAAAGACAAATATCCCCCGTATAGCCTTTAACAGATTGTTGGGGCAAGTGCTGTTGGCATGCACCTACCAAGGCCAACATGGCACACGAGGGGTTTGTGTGGCCAGCTTCACGCTCGGCCGCATTTGTTTACTCAGTGCCGATTTTTTTACAGACCGCACCAGGCACTTATTTAAGGCTTATTCGACCTCGGCGAGGCCCACGACCATTTCAGATACTGTATTCGTCACCGACGTTGGCTATGAGCGGGAATCAAACTCAGGTCACTGGGTTCGTACCGCAGTACGCCAAACACCGCGCTACCACTCCCCCCAGCACAAAACGCGTGCAACCACATATTTTTTGGAAAAGTACCAGGCATTTATTCCTATTGTTTACAATTGTATTCCGGTTGTGTTATTTGTAACCATTTAATGAGGTTCACAAGAATTAAACTCAATAACGGTCACAGTCAGCAGTGTACCAACATGTGTCGGGGGAACGACCCTGCAAATGAAGTATTACAACTCTTTCTGAAGTAACTTCAATTACTACCTTATCCACACTCGGGACCCACTACTTTAACATGGCCTTGAATTCTCAGTGCTGGAATAAACCCCTTTTGTGCAACCATTGTTGATCGGATTGAGAGTAACAATTTTTTCAATACTTGAGAACCGGCATTTAAACGGCACTGACTCAGCACTCTAGACATCTGCAAAAATAGTTTCATAGCTCATCGGGTTTCTCCAGGATAAATAAAGATTCCGATTCCAGAGTGCTTGAACATAGCAAAAGCCCTCTGAACGACCAGCCAATCCAGTAATTAGGAATCCTGGGTACTTGAGACAAGACACATCCTGGTGCTAAGCTGAGAACCGATGGATCCAGGCCAAACTGCCACCGGGGTAACATATGGCACCGGGGATGACGTCTGTCTGACGATTCTTGCCATCACCTGCAGGGAGCGGTTCCCAGAAACACATCGACTTCGTGGCCGGTGTCCAAGTGCTGCCCGTGAATGGTGACTCTCGTTCCTCCAGACACGGGGCCCCATGCAGGGCTCATTTCGCTCAGCTGTGGGTCCTGAAAATACGCAAAGGAAATTCAACGAGCGCGCAAATAAAATAAACACTCGGCGATAACAAAAAGGAAACAATTCGGCGTCCCCACGCTCCTTTTTCAGCATTTGGCAGAGCCCCATCTGTGGCCAGTTGTGAGCTAGTGGTATAAACGCAATGGTAGGAAGCCATCTATGTGCTTAATGCTACTAATGCAAGCCTCCGTCACAGACCGGTTCTCACATTAATTATCGGCCACAGAGGGATGATTGGCTAAGTTGACCGTTGCCACAATTTGAATTAATAATCTTAGGATTTTGAGTCCCACGGTTCTACTGACTGCACTGCCCTGTCATTGCCTTTTGAGGGAATGGGTGACAAATTAAATCCCATCAAGTACAAACGTCACACAAATGATACACTTTTTGTCACTGTTAGTATGCTGACATACAGGCAGCCAGTGAGACAGACAGGATAATAGACAGACAAGACACACACGAACAGATGGATGGATAGACGTGCACATGAACAGATGGGTCGCTGTTCTGGCCGGTATAGCCGGCCAGTCAAATGGAGAGACTCACAAACAATTATAGAGGCAGACACCACACACCTTTCATCCTCGCAGAGGCTTTTGGCTGGGCATCGAACAAAGATGTTCACTGTACCGTGTGCTTTCAAATGCGCTTAAGCGGCCATCTGGAATGCTCTTCCTTCCGATATTAGGAGCTATGCATTTTGAAATCTAGAAAAAAAATTCTATAAAACTGCTTTTTGTGTTTTGTGTGTTGTCCTTCCCCCGCACCTCCGATTGGCAAGGTTAGCTATGTACGGCACAAAAAGAATATCAACGTACATACATACAGATGAACGGACGGACAGATGGACAGACAGGCCGCGGTGCGCACCGTGTACGTGAAGGCCTGTGGGAGTGACGCGGCCTCCTTGCCCTTCACCGTCACCCCAACGTCAACGGGCCCCAAGTCCGGCAGAGGGCCCGTTTCGCACACGATCCTGCACAACCCCACGGTACACAAGAGTGAGGTCTCTCTCGCAGTGAACACGCAGTGCACAGGAGAAGCCTCGTAACATTTCACCCGTGGAAACATTGGCCGAACGTGTGCTGCAGTGCGATTTCCAGTAATTTAAGAATGAGGTTTGATTAATCTGCAGCGATGTCTTTTGGTTGAAATACATTTTATATCGCCACTTTATTTTTGCAAAATTATCAAACTATATGGTTTGACAATTTACATGTTGACCTGTGTACGATAAGCAAGTATGTTAACCGACAGTAATGGAGTCACAAATGAATAAATTAAATGCTTCAGTTAATATAGTTATCGAGTGTCAATATTTGGCTGCATGACAAGATTTTACACGCACTGTGCCACCAGTGGCTTTAATGAGAATGCCGCCTCATAATTGTAAGGCCATCAAGCACGGCGCAGCGTGCATTGACACAAAGCTTCATAATTAAAGGATAAATCTCATTAAAACCAATAATTAAAAACGTTAATTAAAAACGAATTGGCCGAACATCGCTTTCGCTGAGAGAAAAGAAGTGCATTGAGAATCAATGAGGCTGTCAGATGAATACCAACGCGGTTACAAATCTCAGGCAGCTGGCAGGGCGGATTAGGCGACAGCGGCACCTTTACCTGACGGACACCTGGTAGAACTGGGGCAGGATGGTGCAGGCAGCGCCACCGACGCTCACAGCCTCCACGTCGGAGACGTCCTTTCCCAGGTTGACCCCGGAGATTGTCACCCGCGTCCCTCCTTCACGTGGGCCCGAGGTTGGCTCCACCTGGGTCCACGGTAACAAACCCAACGCGCCATCGGAGAGGGTCATCAAGCTACTGTGCAAAAAGCGCGAGCAATCACCGTTCGCCCGTGGTGAATAGTGCAGCGTGTCCTCAATGGGAGGAGCGGATCTGTGACGCGGGTTTTTTTTTTTTTAGATCCCTAAAATGTTCAGATTTGTATTAAAATCTCCTGCCAGCGGGCCTTCGACACTTCACGTGGACTCAAAGTGCACCTAGCATGGCACAGGCGCCGTGGGGACTTCACAGCCACTTCGTGGTGTCATATCATGCATGTAGAGGTGGCTACGGATGCGGCACTGGAGGCTGCAGGAGTGGTGGAGGTGGGGGGTCGGGGGGGGGGGCTCACCCGTGTGATGGTGGGGGCCGGGCACACATCCTGCGAGGGAGCGCCGCAGTCATCCTTGAAGGTGCAGGCGGCCGGCTCCCCGCACCACACGCACGCGCGTTCCTGCGCCACCGCCTGGCACAGGCTGCAGTCGCTCCTGCCAACCCCGCACTTGTACAGCGTCACTACGGGGCCAGGCGAATGGCAGGGAACGGTTGTGAGAAGAGAGAGTGAGAAAGAGGAGGTTTAGTCACTGCGCGATGATTACTTTTACCCCTCTTCATTTCGGATTATGCCGCAAGTATATATTAAATAAATCTGCATTTTTATCCCCTTCATCTGCTTGGGTTAGGTTTGACCAGTTGGGTGGTGGCAGTGGTTAGAGCGAGCACAGTACTCACAGTCGGAAATCTTCCAGTTCAAATCCCTCTTGGGGATTGACTCAGCGCATCATATTTCCGGGAAAATAGAACAAGTGCCACTTTTGTGGGAACTCAACAGCGGTTGTTGTTCCCCTATATCACAGACTCATTCTCACTACTGGAATGTGGAATTTACATCACTGGCTCAGGGCTGTAAATAGGATACATGCACCTCCCCAATGCTTGGTCGCAACAGAAACAAAACACATTCGTGGGCAGAATCACAACTTGACAAGACAGCCAAAAACTCACCCCTTGATGTGTTACCAAAAGGCTAGTGATGGAGACCTTAATATCTTATCGACAAACAATGGATTAAATTAAACATTCAGCATCACGTGAATCTGGCACGTGTAGCTTTACTAAGTTTACTTAATCGCAAGCGCCATGCTTACGGTTGGCGAGGGCATCGATGGACTTCTGCGGGTCGCTTGACCAGCGTACAGAGATGGGTGCCTCCAGCTCCTCGGAATCACTGCCATAGTCGAACTGAAAGGCAGATTTGTCTTGGCATAAGTCCACGCAAAAGCATTAGCAATACAGGCATGCACACATTCAAATTCTGGATTAGTTTCCGATAGTGGTGTTTTGGAAATTAGATGTTCAGATTCTATTCCGTATTTTAGTATTTTCAGACTTAAAAATATTACATGTTAAGAGCGTTCACGGTTTGTGCACTGAATTTAATCACTTTGGTCATTTTAAATATTAATCACTTAAATATATTTTTTTTGCTACAGAAAGTTCCATTAGAAAAACATAAAAATTAACGTAAAGATTCTAATGTTTTTTTAAGCAAATGCAACATCACAAGACATCAATATGGTATCCCGTGATGGCACCCTTGGTAGGATAGGCATCGAAATGATGTTTCTAGGTCCAATTTTGCAGGTTTAAAACCCACATCGAATGCACAACGGATCAAACCTACGTGACTACAGTGAGCCTGATGTCCGTGACAAGAGAGGCAGTACATCTCAATCAGCCCTCAACTGGCTGAGCGAAGAGCATCGACTCAATTATTGATTTGATTGTTTTAGCGCCATTATCCTTAGCAGTTAGTTGTGCAACGTGATTCTTGTCGCTGCGGGACACATTCGATCAGTTCGGAAGAGCCTGGGAGTGAGCGAGCACGCCGAGATGCAATTTGGCGCGTGGACAACCCCCAAAAGCCACTGCTGATGAAGCAACGGCTTTTGTTCCGGCATCAGCAGTATTTGGCTGTGTGGCCAGCCAGCACAGCGTACACGTTTGTCAGAAGACGCATGGGTCTTCTCTCGAGGGACACAGATAGAGGAATTATTCCCCGTCCTCGCCTCTTTGTGTCCTCAGGGCACCCACAAGCACGCGCCCACAAGCGTGCGCGCACAAGCACGTACGCGCGCACATCTGTGGTAGATTTACGCACAGCTCTTCGTCTTGGCTTGTCAGGACCATTGTGTTTGTATTTTTCACGTCATTTTACAGAGCTTGCAAATAGTGTGGGAAGCTTGCACGGCAAATGCCTTGCGATTTATTATTTTACCCCCCCCCCCCCCCGCGCCCCTCGAACACATCCTGATGCCAAGATATATCATGGTTGACCCCAGAGCGTTAATGCATTTCAGCGCTGCCTTGTCTTCAGTTAATTTTTAAAGTAAACCGCATCACGTCCGGGTCCAGTGCAACTTATACTCCTGAAAGTTTTTCCTACATTAGACTTTGATGTGCCGGGGAATTAGCAGAACCGTGGTTGCTGGCGGAGCAATGAAGAGTGCTGCAAATAGGTGCATTATTGCACTACTCGATTTAAAGCTTTCGTGACTGCAGGGATTCATCTTCTTGGTTCTTTCGGTAAAGTCACGTAGAAGGGAAATAATAAAATAATAAAAATAAAACAATAATGTTATAAAATAATACAAATAAAACGTAATATTATTGTTTTATTTTTATTATTTTATTATTCCCCTTCTACGTGACTTTACCGAAAGGCCCAAGAAGATATTGCAATACTCGATTTAAAGGATGAAGACATGGATGTGGCTTGGTTGAATCCAAGTCCATTATAATCCTGATGCCAATTGTTCATGTACAGCCCGTTTTGTCAGTACACCGCTGACCAAGGGCCTCTCAACGTCTTGTGAGCCCGTGCGGGATATATGACCATACTTCACCACGCTGCTCAGCGTGGGCTGTTGAAGGTGACCAGAAGTGCAGAACAATCGATTTTGCCGCACTGCCCTCTATTGCCCAAAACGTCTACCGAACCTGTCTTTTGCACATGGAGGTTACCACCCACCCACGCACTATCCAGGCTCAAACTTGCTTAGCTTCGAAGGTCTGATTATATTTGGTGCATTCTAGGTGATTTCATCAGAAGCACAAACTGATCACGGATGATGACATTAGTTTCCCTGTATTTAACTTGGTAAGCCACATGTGAGACTCTCTCTTGGGAAAATCGTAAGGCTAAAAAAAATATTTACACGAGGAAAATAATTTACACGTATTTCTGACAATTAAATAATGGGACTCGTGCAATGGTACAAGAACACAATCAACATGCCCTTCCGACTGATAATTCTACGGGGCCGTTTTAATTTATGGCGCCGCCACTCTTTCGTAATTCTCTACAGAAATCACCGGGGCAGCTGTTGGGGTCGAACTATTGACACCGTGCAAATTGACCCAGCGGCGGAGCACATTGCCCGCCAGGCTCTTTAACTTTTTTTATTGCAGTTGCTAAGCAGAAGCCCTAGACTTTGTAACCTCAAGCAACCAGCAGGAGAGCCGACTCTCGTGAAATTGGTGGCAAGGGTTGACGAGCCTCTTCAATCGAGTACGGCTAGAGACAGATGGAAAGACAGATGTAAGGAGCAAGCTCCAGAGGGCCAAGCTGTGCGAGTTAGAGAACTGGAAGACAAATGCTTCGTCCTGCGGTGAGGCAGCTGGACAACGGTGCGGGACGAGGGGGAGAATCGGTGCGCAGAGACCGCATCCAGGACGCTGATGGATGGGGCCGATCTCTGACTGAACAGCGGGCTTGGGCGTGCGCATGCCGGTGAAAGTCTGTCGCTGGCTCTCCGGCCAGGCCTCACCGTTCCCGAGCAGCTCAAAGCCCACGTGTCCTTTTCCACCTTCTCCACTACGGCCGGCGAGACGACGACTCCCAGGTCGGTGGCGACAGCGCACTCGAAGGTCGCCACCTGCGGGGCAGACACAAGCGGCAGTAAATGGCGATCGTATTAATTAGCTCTCACGGTGTGTTTTGTTGTTGGGTTGTATACCACGTGCTATTCAGCATGATGTCTGGACGTTTTCACTGCACAAGGCTGGGAGCTTCTTCGGGATATGAAGTTCAGCTCATCGAGAGAAATGTCGGATATACCGCCGAGCAACATAACCTGTATACACGTGGGAGACCGAGACGGCACAATGGAAATGGACCTATGCAGTAGATTGTGTCCATTGTTTGCCCTATATGGAGTACTCGTCATACTGCAGACAGACCATCAAGCTCTTGAACAGTGCTGAGGAATACACGACACAAAATCAAATGCAGTAGATTTGCATAGGATTGGCCAACAAGAGAAGCGTGGATTAGAGGCATCTTACTGTTTCAGCAATTTGCTTTTAAATGTTTTACAGTGTGGTGACTGTTGTTTCTTTAGTGGCTACAGAGGGTCGCATTAACCCTATAAATAAAACATGCAAATCAAAAATAACCGAGAAGAATTCACATACCGCCACACCCACTCAATCCCTACTCATGCCCACAGTGAATGGCTTAATCTTTTCTGAAACTGCCACTGCCTAGTGCTGATAGGCTGCACCTACTCCCCGTTTCAACCCCATCCACTATTTAGCTAGCCCCGCAAACTACTTTGCTAGCCCCAACACACGACTCCACTGGCCCCACCCACTACTCGGTTAGCCCCACCTATTACTCGGCTAGCCCCACCCACAACTCGGCTAGCCCCGCCCACTACTCGGCTAGCCCTGCCCACTACTCGGCTAGCCCCGCCCACTACTCGGCTAGCCCCACCCACTACTCAGCTGGCTCCACCCACTACTCAGCTGGCTCCACCTTTTCCCCCATATGTAGCTGCTGGAGGAATGACGAGTTTTTTCATTATTGTTGTTCTATACTCCTGTGCAGTTCCTGTTCTGTTGTAATGTGCACCGATGCAATTTTGACGCGTTTAGATTGACCGATTGATCAATGTGGCCACAACACATTTAAAAACCCGGAATAAAATGATTTTCACGAAAGCTTCAGGGCACCAGGGCCAGCCCTTTTCAGAAACCACTGGACTGTCCTGGCCATCATTACCTTGAGGAGGCCCAGTCGCTTGGCGAGGAGAGACAACTTCCACGGCCGCCCTGCCAGGACCAGGGAAGGCTTCACCAGCGCCTCAAGGCGAGGGCAGGCTTGCGGGCCTTTCATGTCGAGATCAGAATCACTGCTCTCACGTTGCTGGTTATGCAACAGTAAAGGCATACACAAAAATGCAGTCTTAATGGGGTTTTTACATTGCTTAATGGATGAATATGTACATTTCAGGTGACTTCCAGAGTACAGAAAAACCCGCATGTGGTTCTAACCACAAGTGCGCAGATATGGATGTTGTCATAATAACTTGGATCTGAAACGAATCCCAGTTTCCAAAAACTGGATTTTCTGGTTTTGGAGAAACCTAATAATATATTTTTCTATCATTTCTATTTTTAATTTGTTTTCTCAGGATTATGTTTCATTGCTCTGTTCAAATTGGTGCCATCCCAGCTTCTGGTGAGAACAGGAGACTTTTGTCCTGGCTACAGTCTCATGCCACCGCATGATAATCTCATAATGCACGGGCAGGTGATGCGTGACTCACAGAGGGAGATGCTGGCACGCTTCCCAGCTCATGACAAAAGGACATCGCGCGACACAGCAACCCACCACCTCTAACCAGCCACTGCAGTTACGCTCCACATGGCATGGCAAACACAAATACAATACTTGGTGCGTCATCATCATCATCCAGGCCTGTAGCGGGGTGGGGGGGGCTGAGAAGACTGAGCCCCCCCCCTGCCAAAAGTTCAGCTACCCCCCATTATAAAAGCTTAGGGGCAGGTCAAAAATGTTGGTACAATACAGTATTTACATAGGCGGGGAGGAGAGCTAAGCGCAAAATGCACGACAGGCAAAGGGGAAATTGCATCGTTACTCACTCTGTTTAGCGGCTAGCATTTGTTGAAAGTTTGTTTACATTAACAGTGTCGTGTCCTCCCACAATCTTAAGTTTTTATATCCCCCCCGCCACCCCCACCTCCTTTAAACAAGGTCATGCTACGAGGCGTAATCAAATACCAACAACCACTGCAGCAGGCATTGCCTGTAACACCTGGATTTGTCTGGTGATCTCCTGCCTGCAAGCCTTCAATCAATCAATGCATCACACGATGGTCTGGTGTGGTCGAGCAAAATGAGAAACTTTCTGAACATCGCAAGCGTTGCAGAATTGATGCTGCACCTTCAAGCCACTGGCTGAAGGACTGAGGCGAGGGTGGTAGTCTCTGAGCGATAACCCCACATAGGGTTTTTTTTTTTAGAAAAGAGAGAAAGTTGAAGAATAAAAACAAAAAGTAACACACACCAGAGATTTAAAAAAACCAATAAAGATCAAAAGGCAGAATTGAGTTTTAAAAAGTGGTGGTAGATTAAAAAAAAAAGAATTGTAAAAGGTTAAACAAATTTAAAAAAAACAAAGCAAAATAAAGACTTCCTTAATGTTACGCACTAAATATTAAGTGGGTTGCATGCTTACATTGCGGATGATGTCTCCTTGGCTGCAAGCTCCGCTGGTACACGTCTGTTCCTCCACACACCAGTTGCATGGCCAGGGGCTCCCAGAACACGCAGCACAACTGCACAAGGACACAGCGATCCCCGCTCATCAGTCTCTGCGGGGTTACTCGAACGAAAATCTTGGTTCCAGGGCAACAGAGCATAGAGTGGGACACAAACACAGTGTGCACAGTACAGTGCTCCTGCAAATGATACTTTCACGGAAGGGCCCAGGTATTGAACATCCCCAATGTCCAAGCTCTGACCATAACCAACAAATGAAAACAAAATAATTTTACATCGCGAACAGCACCGCTAGCAATGTTTTTTTTTCTATTCACATTTAAATGAAAAAATAGCGCCATTGGTGTCACACGTCTCAAGACAAAGTAACCATCGGATTCTCACACAGTCGTGCGTACAACATCTTAGAGAATGGCCCCGTCAAAGGCGAGAACCGATAGCCACTTCACAGATCCCTTCAAGTAACATTTTTTTGCATCCACATGCGAGGCAGTCCACTTTCCCACACACTGCCACAGTGAAATGTTTATCGCACGAAAGTAAAAGTAACATTTCATAATTTCCCAAACATGTAATTTGACCAACTTAAACAAAAAATTTGTTTTATTCAATGTGACAGGGGTTTGTTGGTGCAGCGACCACGGATTGGGTTAAGACCTTCAACTCGCTGCACTTCAGAACCCAGTGCATCCACAGACCTCAGCAGTGCCGGCTCGCTGCCCTGATACCCAAGGAGTCACCTGTGGATTAGCCTTCGTTTGTATAGCAGAAGGCTTCTCCCAATTGTGCAGTGCAGGGTCAAACCTACAGTGAGGGAAAAAAGTATTTGATCCCCTGCTGATTTTGTACGTTTTCCCACTGACAAAGAAATGATCAGTCTATAATTTTAATGGTAGGTTTATTTGAACAGTGAGAGACAAAATGACAACAACAAAAATCCAGAAAAACGCATGTCAAAAATGTTATAAATCTATTTGCATTTTAATGAGGGAAATAAGTATTTGACCCCCTCTCAATCAGAAAGATTTCTGGCTCCCAGGTGTCTTTTATACAGGTAACGAGCTGAGATTAGGAGCACTCTTAAAGGGAGTGCTCCTAATCTCAGCTTGTTACCTGTATAAAAGACACCTGTCCACAGAAGCAATCAATCAATCAGATTCCAAACTCTCCACCATGGCCAAGACAAAAGAGCTCTCCAAGGATGTCAACTCAACTCGCCATGTTTGGAGGAGGAATGCTGCCTATGACCCCAAGAAAACCATCCCCACCGTCAAACATGGAGGTGGAAACATTATGCTTTGGGGGTGTTTTTCTGCTAAGGACAACTTCACCGCATCAAAGGGACGATGGACGGGGCCATGTGCCGTTAAATCTTGGGTGAGAACCTCCTTCCCTCAGCCAGGGCATTGAAAATGGGTTGTCGATGGGTATTCCTGCATGACAATGACCCAAAACACACGGCCAAGGCAACAAAGGAGTGGCTCAAGAAGAAGCACATTAAGGTCCTGGAGTGGCCTAGCCAGTCTCCAGACCTTAATCCCATAGAAAAATCTGTGGAGGGAGCTGAAGGTTCGAGTTGCCAAACGTCAGCCTCGAAACCTTAATGACTTGGAGAAGATCTGCAAAGAGGAGTGGGACAAAATCCATCCTGAGATGTGTGCAAACCTGGTGGCCAACTACAAGAAACGTCTGACCCCTGTGATTGCCAACAAGGGTTTTTCCACCAAGTACTAAGTCATGTTTTGCAGAGGGGTCAAATACTTATTTCCCTCATTAGAATGCAAATCAATTTATAACATTTTTGACATGCGTTTTTCCGGATTTTTTTGTTGTTATTCTGTCTCTCATGGTTCAAATAAACCTACCATTAAAATTATAGACTGATCATTTCTTGGTCAGTGGGCAAACGTACAAAATCAGCAGGGGATCAAATACTTTTTTCCCTCACTGTATCACATCATCTTCCAGGGATGGTAGGGTAAGAATATCCAGAGGTTTATCTTCATGAGTTCGGTCCCTTGCTTTATTTATTTATCTATTAAAAAAGCCACACTGAGTCACGGGGACTCTATTGTCAGAAGGATCATGCATTGGGTTTTGCTTTAATGTTTTCAGCTAATTAATAAATTATTGTACATGTGGGAAGAAACCGGAGAAAATCCACACGTGCAAAGGGGGCAGCAATCTATCCCCATACAGATGGAAAACAGATGGTGATTATTCAACTTACTGTCCTGCCTTCGCGTGGCGAGCCAGGGTATGGCGCCTCTCCGACGTCCACGGGAATGGAGTTTTACAACATTTGTGTGACCCACAAACCCTCGCTCGTCTCCACAGCGCTGGATTACAGGCGCGTGCGCGCCATCGCTGCCAGGTTCCGTGCCATTTGACTGGGAATTTCCCTCCACTGGCTCAGGACCATTGTTTGCATGCTGGCGGCGGGGGGGGGGCACACCGCCCAATTCACAAACCAGTCTCAATTTTTACGGCGTGGTTCTCCATCTGGCCACCGGACAAGCGGTAAAGCTGTCGTCGCATCAAAAACACGGCCGCCGCGCGTTTGTTCGAGTTCAAGGAGGAATATTCTTTGGGTCAACTTACGGTCCTGCCTGTTATTTTCTTTGAACCTATCTACGCGACTTTACCGAAAGACCCTAAGAATATGAATTCCTGCAGTCACGAAAGCTTTAAGTCAAGATTCAAGGAGGAACTGATATGTCTCTCAATTGGAAGCTCAGAACGCAAACCGTTTCAATGTGCAGAGAGAACACGCGACCCAAAATTAATGCGCTCTCACCACCGCATCTAAAAAAAATTCACAGTGGCTTAATTGACCAGAAAATTACTCATCACAAGGAATTGCAAATAATCTTGATTGAGTAAAATAAACATTCGTGAAAAACCTCATCCATTCTACTCATCAAAATCGTTCACATACAATTGATAATCAAGGGGTAGTGACCTAAATAACGTAAACGTAGGGTTCAAATGGCATTCAAATGAGACATTCATGTCCAGTGCAGGCACCCAGCCAGCACCTGTAGCACTGTATACAACGACATGCTCCATATAATTGCACTACCATGCTGGCTATTACTATAGGAAAATCTGAGAACTGTATTTGGTTGGCAGTATTTACGCGACGTTTTTCCAACGTCTGAACAGAAACCCAGACTCTCTTGCTCTCAAGATGACCTGTACGGTGCAAGCCAATCAGGGCTCCCACGTGCGTGTGTTGCGAGGAGCGTTTCCTCAACCTCGTCCCCCTAAAACCACTTCTCTTTCCACTTCGTCCCTCACACCGCACCACTTCAGAATTCTCTCCCGCAGCAAGTTTTCCCAAGTCCACGCAACCTCGCTCAATTCAAAATAAGCGTACCAATTCTAACCTATTAACGCCTCTCAATACCGCCTTTTGTTGCTGGTCGTTTGAGAATGTTGGGCCCAGGACTCCCTCCGCAACCGTGATTAAAAAACTCTTTTTTTAAATAATCTGCTAATAAATTCTGGTCACCAATGTTCCATGGCGTCTGGCAGTCAACGGCCCCTTGGGCTCCGTTGGGTGTGGGTCTCTGGGGCAGTGAGAGCTCGGCACACAACGCGTGCGCACACGCGCATTCTTCCCATACAAGCCCAGACAGCGGCCGAGTGCTCCAAGACAAATTTCCATGAACTCATCATCGCCGCGCCAAGGTAAGTACGCAGTTTGTGAGCGGGTACGGCCGGCCACAGCTTCCTCACACCGCCACCGGGGGAGAAGGGTGAGTGCGGGTGCCGGGTGGGTGGGAAGGAATGAAGGCGAGCAGTCTATATATCCGTCCAAATACAGTGAACAAATATGAACACTCTCCAGCAACGTGTGCCCAAAGACGAAAGTGCACAACTGCGTAGGGTTTTGCGACGTGCTGTAAAGCGGCGATCAGATGGGCTTTTGGGGTCGTAGTGTGCGTTGGTCGGCACGATGCCCCCACGTTTCTCTCCGCGTGCTAGGAGCTTCTCCTGCAACTAAATATTCGGTTGGTTCTTAAATCAGCTATTTATACTTAGCGAAGCCAGTTTTTTTTCAGTCAGTGCATTTTTCCTGCTATGGGCATCGAGGTCAGAAACGTGGACGATAACAATGAAAATGGAAAAGATGAAAAGTGCAAACAAAAAAATGCACCCATAGAACACAGGGAGAGGAACGCTTGGACTAAAGGACATGTGCAAGTTCGAGACATCGTATTCATTGCGATGAAAGGGCTTCGGCAGAGGACACCTGGCTGGACAGGATGATGGCCTGTGGTCGAGACTAATGACAGCGGCAACCGATGGAGAGAAAAGGCTGAGAGTACGTCCACCATGGAGATGAAGTGATCGGGTTGTGTGCACGACCGAGATGGACTGTTGCACCATGAGACCGTAAAATATGGTGGCGACCTGCTGAGGTATTCATCCAGCAGTGAATGGATCATGGCAGACAATGAAAGTGAGATAAAGTCAAAATGTCTCCCAGGAACAAAGAAGCAACCGTGTGACTAGCAGTAGAGGCATTTGTGTTTCAGTGAACTCCTCTCTGCGGTAGCAGAGCAGTTATTGTCCTGTGTAAACAGCGCCACTGGGGAGATAAAGGCGGTCGGGGGTGGTGCTGGTCACCCCCCCCCCCCCGTGTGCCGTGCCTTCCTTCATAGGCGCTCGCGAACAGCACTTGACCCAACAGTCTGTTAAAGGCTACGCGGGGGGGGGGGGGATCATTGTCTTTGCCTTCTCTGCAGCGGCAGTCGTTACTGCAGGGAATATGCGATGAGTAATGAGTATCGGCTGACTCGCACGCTAACACCGACAAAGAACAAGGTCAGTGTGTCCGTCTCCTTGCCTAAACAACAAAGGGGTGGGTTGCTCATCACCACCGGAACACCATCTCTGGATATTCCACCTTTCCCTTGGAGGTGGCCAGTCCATACGTAACACAACCCCCACTGTCGATTTCCCATGAAGGGGTCCTCGATTTTTGTTTTATTCCCCTAACAAAATGATTGGTTGGAGCAACCGCGCCCGCCCAAATTTGAAAACGGAAACTTACGATTGTGTGTTGTACGCATGTTGTATGTATGTATGTGTACGATGAATTTATTTCGCGCGGTATTAGCCAACCATGCCAATCGGAGGTGCAGGCTTAATTTCAAGGGGCTTAACTGTGCGTCAAGAGTCGAGAACTCGCACCATATTGTCATCTCACCGGATAAATACAAGCACGACGTACAGTAAGTGGAAGGGCAGGGTGTTTACTGAAGACAAAGACGATTGTCCTCTCATGAGGAAACCAACCACAATTAGGGAACCAACTTTTATATTTTGACGAGAGCGGTCACTCCGATGGGGGGGGGGGGCGGGGGGGGGGGGCAGGGGGCAGAGGCGGTGAGGCCTCACAGACAGCTGGGCTGGCCTCACGGACTCCCAACTTACGGCGCTCGGGGGTTGAGCCGCGCCAGGGCCGAGCAGTCAAACACGAGCAGCCGAGCCGTCACCAACGTGATGTCTCCATGCCTCACGGCAACCTCCACCTCCACGTGGTCTGCGCACAAAACAAAGACGAAGATCCCTCGTATAGCTTGTAGCAGACTGTTGGGGCAAGTGCTGTTAGCGAGCACCTAGGAAGGCCAACAAGCGGGGCTGGGTGGCCAATACCACGCCGGGCCATTTACATCACCCCTGTGGGGCGATGTTTACACACTGCATCAGGTGCTCATTTGAGGCCAAATCGACCTAGGGGAGGCCCATGACCGGTTCAGATAACTGTCAATGGTGTTGGCCGTGAGCAGGAATCGAACTCGGGTTGCCTGATTCATAGCACAGCCACAAGCACCAACAACCACGGGCATTGGCATCAGCAGTATTTACTCTCTCCTCAACTTTCCATTGGCACATATGAGCCGCAATAGCACTGGGTCCTCGCAATACCGGTGTGGCTTTTCCCACTGGCAATTTGCCGGGGCCGAGCCAGAACCAAACCGTGAAATTCCGGCCTCGCAATAAACGTCTCAATCTGGCTCGGGGCCAAGCAGGGCCAGGGGGCTCGGAGAATGACTCTCGTCATGCTTGTTCGTGGTGTGCGAAGTCAGCAGTACAGCTCGGGTTTTTTAAAATGTTTTTATTATATGTCAGTAGGAGCACAGTAAAGTCCACAACAAGCCGCGACGTGGGGGTGAGGGGGGGAGCACAGAAACTCCGTGGACATAAGTCCCGAAACACTGTGCTCCTGGATTCAGAGGAGGGAGGAGATTGGGCTCGTTGCCCCACCGAGTGGGGACCGCGAGCAGGGTATTTGTGTTTTCATGTGGGGAGGGGAAGGCGAGGGAAGAACAACTTATGTAAGGGAGTAGAGGGAGCAGGGGGGTACTTAAATGAGAAAAAAACCTGGCATGGCTCGGTTGTACACAGTGGGGAAGAGATAGAGAGGTCCTCCGTTTAAAGTGACGGGCTACTGCTTGTGGCCAATCAACCTGAATGCGCCAGATCTCGTCAAGGCTTGGAATGCCAAGCAAAGATTTGAGCCTGGTTGGTACTTGGATGGGTGACAGGGAATACTCGGTGGTCTAGGCTTGCGCTGTGAAGTAGTAAGGAGATGGTAGTACGGCATTGGACTATTCAATCTCCCCATTGTGGAGCTTTAAGCGATACACCCTATGTGCACATGTTCTCTGATATTCCTCTCACATGCCACTCATTATGAATGGAATTGGCCAAACATTCCAAATTCAGGACCCTCCTAAAAAAGGATCTTGAGATTCAATGAGGCTTTCCTGTGTAAACAGAGAGTATATATTACAATTAGTGTTGCATTGCAATGTGCCAAATAAGGCTGGCACAGTTGGTGGGCCAGCAGAAAGCACACCTGGTCACTTTCGTTTCCCCGACGTCCGTGGGCCAACAAAGGAAATGGGTGCCACGTGTGGTGTCATCATTTTACCAGTACACATTTCTTAATATGGCATATATGTCTAAATTAACAAGCGATAGCGCATTTTCAAAGTGCTTTATTGTATTTATAAGTTAATTTAGGGGGGGGGGGGTCCATCCATCTTTTCTCCAATATTATTCCAATTGTGCTGTCCGCATTGTGCTATGAGACAGCGTCCATGTCGAACTCTGGCCAGGCATCACTCGAGGATGGAAATCTCGCAAGTACTGCAAAGATCACTTCAGGTGACCTCTCATCCAACATTAGTCGCACTAACTTTCCCACACTCCCTGCTATACAGACATACTTGTCACATGGTAATGAAACCAAAATTGTATTAAATGTTTTGCCTAGTTAAGTGGAAAACCACACTTAAATGTGCGTGTGCAGTCATCGGTGCGACCACTAACCCACTACGTTATAGAACCGGATGTGTTCACAGCTGGCTTCTGGGTTCAAAGCCAGGCTATCTCAGTGGCGGGACATACAATTCCTAAGCCATCCACTCCAGTAAACTAGATTTTTTTTTTTTACAAACACAACCAAGCGACTGACAAGTTATATATCAAGTAAAGACTGCCAGTGCTGGTATTGATGGAACCACACCACAAGAGATAACATAAAAGGATACACGAAACTAAACTTTTTTATTTTACCAGGTAAGGCCCACTGAGCTATTAATCTCTTATTCAGAAGCGACCTCACCACAAATGATTGCTCAACGAAGTAACTTATCACGTGGCAATTTATAGCAGCCAAATACTCTAATCGGATAGATAGGTGTGGCTGGGTGGCTCATTGGTTAGTGCCGAGCCAGCACGACTGAGATAATGGGTTCAAATCTGGGTTTTAGCCGACCGTGATTAACCTGGTTGCCAGTTGTGTGCAAGTTCACGTCCGAGCGAAATCATCGTTGATGCATGAAAAACCCACCACGTGCAATTTGGTTCGGACCCAACTTGAATACATTCGAACTCTTGTGTTTAGATATGGTCTTTATGTTATGCCACAATCTCACGGCAGAGCGTTGAGGGAAGTGCGACACCTGCTATGTAAAGAATAAAGGCCGCTTTTGCAGGGCTGTTAGGAGAAATTCTGTGAAAAAAAACTTCTGCAGACGCTCCCCGACACTTATCGATGATTTGCCATCTCATTACACGACGCCGACAGCATAAAGGTGGCACAATTTTAATAAGTTGGGTTGTAAAAAGAGAATAAACCGACATGGGGAAGTCTCAGGCCAGGTTCAAATACCAACCGTTGCCGTGACCCACAAGTTCTGGCATTGCATACGAGTCACTTGGGATCGTAACCACATTTTACGAGCCATGGCAATAACCGCCGACTGCTGGATCATCCAGCCAACTCTTTCCAAGACAAGATAAACATTTCCCTTCTTAATTTATTTCTCTGAGATTTTGCCGACGCGGCGGAAAGTTTTCCGAGATATTTCAACCGCGCTATAGTGGGGACCCAATGGGGAGAGATAGGGAGAGAGCGGAATATTTGTGGCTGCGCTCCCCCACCATCCCCCTTCGGCCCGCGGGGGCCACAGGACAGTAGTGCCACCACCCGCACACTCGAAAGCGTTGCGCGCTACTGTCCCGTGGGCTTGAAGAACGATACCTTTCCCGTTCCACGGCAGGAGGTCGGGAGACGGACTCTGGCAGCGCACAAGATTCCCGGCGATCGTGGCTGGGGTGGAGTGGCCCTCGGCTTGGCAGCGCAGAGATTCGGAGTTGGTCACCTCCACCAGGTGGGCGACCGTCAGCGTCACCTGGGCACAGCGGCAACCGACAGCGAACGAACGGCTCCAAACCAACCGGAAGAAGAAAACGCTCGTGGCAGACATCTCCACAGTACTTTATAAGATAATTCCATTCTCATTCAAACACACGCCAATGACCAACTCACACGGAATGAGCCCGATGATCTCTTTAAATCTTGTTAGATGTTGAAAGCGAAGCAGTTTTAAGCCCAGATATTGCTAGGATGGGTGACCACAGGTTATTATAGGCCGAGGGGCATATGTGGTTGGCAGCAGAGGGAACTAAAGCAAACACATCCACTGTTGTACTTTACATCTAAGTCTACATTGCCTGTCTTCACCAAACCACCCTGGCCAGCATGGTGAAGTTAAATGGTCCCTGTAACCCGCACCTCCAATTAGCACGGTTGGCTACAACATACACACAAGTGGATAAGTAAATGACTCTACATATACAAACAAGACAAAGACCCCAATATAGCCTTAACAGCCTGTTGGGGCAAGTGCTGTTAGTGAGCCCCTATGAAGGCCGGCATGGCACTGCACACGAGGAGGTGGGTGGCCAGCATCAATTTCGGCTGCCTTCGTCTCCCCAGTGGAGATGTTTACACACCGCACCAGGTACTCATGAAAGGCCGAGTTCACCTAAGGGAGGCCCAGGACCGGTTCAGATAATCATCACCGATGCTGGCCGTGAGCGGGTATCGAACTTGAATAGCCAGGTTCGTAGCGCAGCGCGCTAACTGCGTATATGTGCATATATGCATACATAGACATAGACAAATACAAAGATTTGCACATCTGTGCATGCACACAAACGCAAAGACTTCCTCACTTTGACAGTGCATCCTCACAACCTGTTCCAAGCAAGAGGCAAACGGGCTGTTATCGAGCACCAGGTAAGCCCAGCACAGCACACTCCGGAATTGCTGTGGTCAACACCATGCCCAGGCCACCCTTTGTTTCCCCATCGCTGATGCCGACCACAGGCAGCACCAGGTGCTCATTATAGACCGAGTCCACCCAAGGGGAAGCTTACAGCGGGTGCGCTCGTTAATTACCACTGGTGCCACTCGTGGGCAGCAATCGAACCTGGGTCAATGCGACTGTGCAAACTCTACCATCATGCACCTGCTCCCCCGCCCCGTCACCACACACAAACATATACCTGACAGACAATACATTACAGAGACGTGTATGTATGTTCCAACTTCTTTCGCACCGTACGTAGCCAACCGTGCTAATAGTCGGTGCTACAGCTCCGCAGCAGTACAGGATCTGCACACGGCACAGTGTGGGTGGATACCGGTGGTGGCGGAACTGTCGAGTGTCCAGGCGGGGCCAAGTGCAGCGGGGCCCACAGGCCAGAAGGGGCCTAGACGTCAGACTACGCAGAGGGGTGGAGGGAATCGGACTGGGGGCCAAACTTAATTCCTTATATCAGGGTCCATGTGAATTGATGCTGCGCCACCGCTCTATACAAATGAAGACAAAGATCCCCTGTGTAGCCTTAACGGCACTTGCCAGGGGGAAAGTGCTGAAAGCGAGCACCTATGAAGGCTGGAATGGCACACGAGGGGGTGGGGTGGCCAGTACTATTCCTAGCCACCTTTGTATGTTTGTTGAATTTCTTTCGCACCGTACATAGCCAACCGTGGTAATCCCTAGTGGCGATCTTTATACATAGCACCAGGTACTCATTTGAGGCCGAGTTGACCTAGGGGATGCCCAGGACCGGTGCGGATATGCATCGTTGATGTTGGCAATGAGCAGGGACCGACCTTGGGTCTCCGGGTTCACAGCGCAGCACGCTAACCCCCACACAGTGCCATAATGCCATCGGTGGTCAGCGCACGCACACGCATACATACACGTCAGTTTACACACCACACTGCACACCACACACACACACACACCGCACGTACAAACACACAAACACACCGCACGCACGAACCTGCTGGGGATGCTGGCGGCTCACGCTGTGCGGCGACACGCCGCTCACGGCCGGGCACTCCCCGCGGGGGCTCCACAGCCACGCCTCCTGCACGTCCGCGTCGGGGCACTCCGCACGCCCGGCGCACCTGGCGCGGCCCGCCCGGCGGGAACGAGTTATCAGGGCACCGGCGGAGCGCGGAGGGCGACGGCGCGGCTTTGGCTCGCAGCTCGGTCTCTTGCGAGGGCCGACGGCGTGCGGGTTTCGCGGGCACACGGCTGGCGCTGCCGGTTTTTCGGGGATTTTAGGTCGCCTGGCTGATGCGAGCTCCCCCCACCCCCCACCTCGCCCGAGGCGATTGCGCGGGGGGGGGGGGGGGAGATTTTGCTGCGCGCGCGACGATTGTGTCGCTCGCCACCGGTGACGTGCCAGCCACTTTAGAGTGGAAAACATTGAAAACGTGTCTCTCTTTCATTACATACCAATTTACAACCCTGCAAAAATTGTGTCATACGAAAAAAAAATGAATGCTAACAGCCGTGCACTCCACACTCAGTGAAGTCTCACTTCCATGATTAACTTCGGTTTGAAATTATAATCTTTATTATAATTGCAATCGGCAACAACTCAAGATAACTCTCGTCAAGACTTACAGCTCTCAAATGTGCTTTGCGATAAATGGTTTCTTTATCTTCTCCTGCTCCGGCTCCGCCTTCATTTTAGGCGCCATGCGGAATGAAACGCACAGTTCCAACGTCTTTCACGGGCAGTGATAATTGGAAATTCCATGGCCTTAAATGCCCCCGTCGGCTGCCTACAGCTTGGGCTCGCGCAAGGTGACGTGTCGGATTTGTAGAAATGTTTGGATTCAAGTGGAATGCCCAGGGCTCAGAGAGGAATTTATGCGGAATCTTAGGCTCAACATTCAAACTGGCTCGATTTTACGGAGCATGCCGAATCTAATGTGGAATTTTCGCCCTTAAGGGAAAGAGAGTCGCAGTCCACTGTGCAATAAAGATTTTTATTTTATAACTCAAAAGTGAAGTTCTCTCTACAGGCAGCTGCTCTTTCCTGGGAATACAGCCAAGAAATAGTACCATCAGTGATGGTTAAAGCAGGTGCCAACATGATGTATATTGCTCTAAAATAAAATCGAGGGCAACAGTGGTGCAGTGATTAGTGCACTGTGCTATAAACCCAGTAAGTTTGATTCCTAACCATTTGCCAATATCAGTGTAGGGCGATACATGAACTGATTATGGGCCCCCACTACACCAACCCACACTAACCAGTGCGGTGAGGTATGGTCAAAAATAAACCACAACGACCAACAGTGTGGGGAGGCCTTCACCTAGAAGTGGATTGGTAAATTATAAAATTATAATTATTAAAGGTAACAATCAATGCCTTAATGAAGCACATTAACTGTAATGAATTAATCACTCGTGGAAATAAGAACACTTAGGCTGCACAAAACCTTTTAACACCGCACTCCCATCTCCGACAGGCAATCACAGCGTGCGTTTTTTAAGCGTCCTTCGCAGACACGCTCTGCATCATACGGCCCGAGCTGCACAACCCCCAATGTCACGGCTCGACGTCTTATAATGAGATGCGGCAGAGGAGAGGTGGGGGGGGGCAGGGTTGGGTGGGAGGGGGGCACACGCGCCACAAATATAAAACGATGACCTTGGTGACCCCCCCCCCGCCCCCCGCCCACCGCGAGACTCACTTCCCGTGCAGCACGCACCACCCGCAGTACGGATCTCCGGTAGCGACGCACCCGGCGCACGATCTGTGGCGGCCGCAGTCCGAGACCGGGACCCTGGCCACCTGCGGCACGAAGACGGCAACAAGCGCGGAAGGTCACCCCGCGCTGCCCCCTCTCGCCAGTCGGTAACCCCGGTGAGCTGCCGGTCCCGGGTTAATGCTGCGGCGAGGAGCGCGCTTGCTCGCTCGTGCGAAGACGCTCGCCCCAAGGGGGTCGCGGGCGAACCCGCGGCTCCGGGAGGCCGCACGCGGCTCTTTTATAAAAGGGCCGCTTCGCGACGTGTTTTTTTTTTTTTAATCGAGGACCACCGTCTTTGTAGTCACGCGCATTGGCGCCTCTTGAAGTGGTGGGGTTTTTTTTGTTATATATACCGAATTCGAAAAAAATTGGCTCCCCTTGTTATTTTGGTTTCGTCGGCTCCTGTTCTAGCTGAACATTACGACGGCTCTTATCCTGCACACGAAGCGGCGGGGGGGGGGGGGGGGGGGGAACAAGCGGATTGGCGAATGCAAAGAAATAATTTGAGATCAGATGGAAGGAACTACAATGGGCTGGCGAATAAAAGAAAATATTACACTTCAGATGGTCAGAATGAAGAATCGACAATGGACTGGCCATGCAGCCAGAATGGTTACGGTTCGATGATAAAATTAAGCACGGCACGGTGAGCAATACGGGAAAAAATTTAAGCAGTCAGACCATCAACAAAGATGGTCAGATAAGATCCAAGCTGGACAGATCAGATTCAAACAATACAGGAAAATATCGTAAGACGAAACAGCGGAAACACCGATGGAGGAAGGCATATCCGGTGAAGTCGTGCCCAACAGTTGACGAGACCGCGGGAATGAAGAAAATCCTGAAGACACGTGCCTAGTCAGTGCCCTGGGCTCCGACGCACCTTTTACGCTCCATGAACGAGGAGGCCGCAACGACACTAGCACACGCGAATGAAATGAGCATCACCGCGACACTGCTCCAATGCAACGTTCGTGAAATAACACGACAATGGGGTGGTCACTTGAGACCTCCTGCGCACGGCGGCTTCAACGTATGAAACGCACTACGGCAGCACGCGGGCAACCGTGATTTTAAAGCCTCGCCTCTCATAACCGAAGCTTCACAAGTGTATGGGGGGCGCTTGGCGGCACACGACCCCCGATTGCATTGGCACGAGATGCGAGTAGTTTGGTTTTTTTCGGGTTACGTGTTGCTTTAATCCATTTCGGAATTTACCACCACGGAGGAAGAACGGTTTAAAACCCAGGGTCCTCCACACACCGCCATGCGCAAGGTTTCCACTCTCGCCGATCACCAGGGGATGGGGTTATTGTGCGACACGTTAATTTGGACGTTGTTGAAGATTGGTCAACGTGTAAAGGCAGATCGTGGTCGTGGTGCATGGGGGGGACTGGGGGGGTGTTAGGGAAGACAACGTCCTTGGCAAGAGAATTCGCAGAAATCCTTGAGTAAACCTACACGTACTTCCATCACAACGTGCTCATCAACTGTGTAAACAGATCGCCGTTAAATCTCTTGGTTTTTTTATAAAATGTTCCAGTGTTTGGCTGGGCTGAATCAAACAGGATTACTGTGTTTCACTTAAACATTTATTTTGCATGGCTATTTGTTACTGTGAAGAGATTCAAGGGAGGCTGATTTTATTGATTTCACGTTATTTATGCGTTGAGTTTTTAATTTAAACCTGCTATTGTTACCGTTGCAATGGCCACTCGCAATTATCTGCTGGAATTTATAGCCGCATGTAAAGCTTGCTGTCAATCCCGTTTTTACGCGGAACATTAGCGTATCGATTTAAAATTTGATAGCTGAAACAGCCGCGCAAATGCACTAAACGATCGCGCAAAACAACTGCATATTGTTATGATCGGGTTTTCAGACATTTAAGCGAAGGGAATTTATCTGAATTGAATACCGATACACATACGGGCAAGCATTTCAAATTTGCAAGCAGGAGTGAAGGTAATAATAATGCTGTGCAACAAACAAGAGATAAATACCAACCACGAATTTTTTAAACCAACTAAATTGTATCGAAACTTCTAACCAACCGTGCTCAATGCAAGAAACGTTTGAATTCTTGTCCACTACACCTGCAACAGTGCTGCTGGATGGTTTGCATACCGAGCCTTCGGGCCTGTGGTCACCAAATTCAATACGAAGAGGACCATGGCCAAACGGAAGTCCCAAAGCCAGAGGTGATTTCAATGATGAGACTGCAAGAGCAGACCCTGGGTGAGCAGCTGGCTGTCGACAGAGCAACCACCGCTGGATCTGTCAGAAGGTAGGACGAGATTTACGACGCGTGGGCTGCATCGATATCATTGGGCACGACTGCCTCTCGTCCTCGAGCACTTATCGAGAACGTGTGGAGCTTCTCTGCAGCCGCGGGGGGGGGGGGGGGGGTGGAGTTGTCACCTGGCTCTCAGACATGACGTAGAGGTTTTCTTGTGTACCATCGAACACCAGGTCTCTGTTAATGGCCGACTCGGCCTGGTGAAGAGTCCAGTTGCCAAGGGGTTTGTCGGCTCCGCGTAGAAATGCCTGCAAAATAGAGACAAAGACCACCCCATGTAGCCTTAACAGACTGTTGGAGCAAGTGCTGTTAGTGAGCACCTATGAAGGCCGGAACGGCACCTGAGGAGGTGGGTGGCCAGCACCACGCCCTGCCGCCTTTATCTTTCAAGTGGCAATGTTTACACACCGCACCAGGTACACATTTGAGGCCGAGTTGATCTAGGGGAGGCCCAGGACCGGTTCAGATAATCGTCACTGGTATTGGCCGTAAGCGGGAATCGAACTCTGGATGCTGAGTTCGTAGCGCAGTGCGCTAACCACCGTGCCACCAATCCCCACAAGAAACGCCTGAACACACACACAGAAAGGTCCCTGTTTAGTAGCCGTATAGGCCAAGTGAGTAAGTGCTGTTGATGAGCGTAGATCTGCCAAGGCTGGATTAGAATGCGCGAGGGTGCTATGGGCCAGCAGCACAACTCCAAGCCACATTTGGCATTTTCCATGCCCTTGCCCAAACACCACACCTAGTACACACACACATATATAATATGCTAAACACATTTTACAAATATACACATTTTACGCTCGTGATGAGATAAATACAAGGGACAGTCCAAAAGCAATAAGAATGTATTCGCAAATGCACACGCACCTCTATCACGTATATCTTTATTTTCAACAGAATATTGACTTTGAACCAAGATCCCTACTCTTGCTGGACGAGGGCCTCCCTACACCGTCCAGGCTGTGGAGGTTGTTTGACGACACTAAACCAGGCTGGTCAGTGCAGGTTGGTGAAGGCGGGGCAGGGGGGTGTATAGGTGTAGGTGCATGGAAGTACAGTACAACAAAACATTTTGCTGTACTGCACTGCTGATGATCCACCACCCAAGCACTGTCCACTAGGGTCAACCGAGCTTGGGTTCTGAAATCCGACACAATTTGACGCATTCCGAGATTTGGTCACAGGCGCCTCGCCGAGCCTGCACCACTCATCTTAGGCAGAGACACACGAGGAGAGCTCCAGAATCCAAGCTCAATGACTACATGCCAATGTTGTTGTTCATGGCTGCGAATCAAACCCAGGTTTATGGTGCAGTCGGTAATTAATCTATCACTGCTCCCCACACACACACACATAGACATGCACAGAAATGAAAGTGCCCGCATACCCACATCCACACACGCACGCATTCACATGTGCACGATTTGCAAGTAAAAATATAAACACAAGGACAAAGATTTCCTTGTTTAGCCTATATAGGATACTGTGCAGGGCATGTGTTGTTACCAAATACATATTACAGTCAGCGAGGCAAATATAAAATGGAGTAGTGTGGCCAGGAATACATATGCCCAGAAGTTTGTCTTCCCACAACTACATATGCATTGGAAGATGCAGTGGTGGCCCATTCCGTACAATAATCAGATGCTATGGATGTGCATACAGTTTAACAACTATTGTTCTATTGCTGGTTCCATGTGATTAACGCACAACATCAAGGGGAGACGAAACAAGTACACACACAAATCCACAAAGACACACAGACGTGTTACCGAGGGCACGAAAAATGACTGTTTCCACCGACATGGCAAAATAACCTCTACTTGTACCTTTCAGGTAAACACGCCGGTGGCTCGAACAGCTTTTAATAAAATGCTACTTAAAAAAATCAAACAGTGTTGAATCAGAAGGGGTCATCGTCAAGTAAGAGGAACAGGACTCTCGGCCTGGGACACGAGCAGCCGGCTTTGTCTCGAGTGCCTGAACTCTGGGTCGCTCGCGATCCAAGTGTTGCCTCCGAGCCACCCACACCAACCCATAGCCTTGGGAACGTCCGTCACAACGCTGACGTCGTTGGCCCAACGGAGCGGTGGCGGCGTGCGTGTGTGCGCACGAACGCAAGCCGCCACCCGGCAACGCGCGTTCACCGTGCCACCAGCGGCGGCGGCGATGGTAAAAAAAAATCGCCTCTGCTCGCTCATTCTGGGACGGTGGGGTCCCGTTACCCTCGCCACCGTTCCCCTCTTCCCCTGCCGAGGAGTAAATCATGGGCGGCGGCGGCGGCGGCGGTGGTGGTGGGGCGGTGGCAGAAAGCCCCACGCCGTGTTAGGCCCCGTGTCTGGCATTGACGCCGGATCCAGACGGCAATGGCCACAAAGACACGCCGGCCACACGGCACGGCGTTCCATTTGAAAAGATCCTTACGTGTCGCGCATTGTCAGATTAAGACAAAAAAGTCAGCGAAGGAAGGATGTTTATTTGGCTTTGGTTAATGGGGCGGGTGTTGCTGAAAGACAGACGGACTGTAATTATGGCCGGATAGTTTTTTTCGCTGTTACCGCAGCGACACGTTCACAGCCACTGCTAGGCACAAAACGGGCGAATGTTTATTTCAGGAATGGCACCCTGCCAGCGGGCAGTGACGAGTCTTGCGCTCTTTTCCAATTTTCGTTTCGGTTTCCAATGTTTTTGGTTTTGCTTTAGCAAGTTGACTGTGTAGAGAAGTTTAAAATGTCATTGTTAACTGCAGCCAAATCTTTAAAAAAGTAAAAAAAAAATGTATTGTACTAAATAAAAAGAAAACTAAGATTCGCACCTGGTTCCTCAGGCTGCCAATGCATCAAATTAATCTTCCTTTGGTTAAATTCCACACTTGAGCACTCTGATTCAAATATCTACACTAAAATAGCATTTTCATCATCAGTCACATTCTTATTGTGCTCTTGAGATTTAGACAATTAATTACTTTAGCTTTTCAGAATTTGACCAGTTATACAGCCGTAGCTGATCAAAACTGTGTGATGACCCAGAAATTCCGAAAGGCCTTTGCCTTTTAGTATCCATCTTGCACCGTCACAAGACTGCAGCCTCAGTCGCTGGTGTTCGACTCTGCCTACGCATCACCATCGCGAACATAACCCTCAGGGGAATGCAACGCTATCGGCCAAATTAAGAAACAAATAATAAGAAGTCCCGAGAGTTTGTACTTGCAAAATTCTTATATTGCAGGGTTATCACACAGGTCCTGCTGTGTTCCACAGACGGGTATAGAGGTCGGCCAGGGTGTGACACCAGCACACGTGGCCAACCCGTTTTCAAATAGCACCACAGGATCTTTAACGTGCACTGTGAAAGTAGACGGCGCGCATTTATGGCTAAAATTTAAAATTGTATCAGGTAAGGCCCACTCAGCTATATATCTCTGATCTGAACAAACTAGGCCTGGTCCCCACGCACTTCAACCCGCGCTGACCAGAGCGGTGATGTCCGCTTTAAGAACCTCCATAATGAACAATATGGATAGGCCTTCATCCTATGAACTATTACAAATTGAACCATTACTTTTTTTTTACCAGGTGAAGCCCACCTGAACGACACAGCTCTTATTCAGAAGCGACCTTGGCCACAAATGATAGCTCAACGAAGTGGCTTATCGCGTGGAAATTTATAGAAGCCAATACTTTTACTGTAGCCGTGCACCTTTTTGGTTGTCAATCGTAAAAAAAAATGTATTGCATCAATATATACACAGGTTTGATGAACTTAAGTAGTTGTACTTATGTGCCCGTGCTTAATTTGCGTTGATGATTTACCTTCTAAAAATATCTAGCATGTCTCGCACCCCCAGAAAAGGACATCTCGCACCCTCCAGGGGCTGCGTGCACCCCAGGCTGAGAACCACTGCTCTAAACGCACGTTTCTAAAGCCACCCGCAGTATTGACCAGGGTGGCCGCTGGGCTCGAACCATAGACCTCTGCAGCACGCAGCAAACGGGCTACCGCACACAGCCACATCACCCCACCCGCCCCACAAAAATAAATTACGTCACAAATGTGTGGACAGTTTCAAGCACAATTAATCCGTTTCAGTGTTTCCGGGGAGTTGGCCTCCACGCCGTGCCAAGCGAGCGGGCGGGCAGGCAGGGGGGTTAGCCTCCACCAGGAGCCCCGCGATCGCACGTGGGTGGGGGGGGGGGGCTGCTCGTACCTTCACGAGCCGCCCCGTGGAGTCTCCCACGAAGGCGATCGTCCACCGCTGCTCGACGAGGGTGGTGGCGACGGCCGTGAGGTGGACGTCGGGGAACACGGCCAGCGCCGGCGACACCAGCGTCTGGCGGCCCACGATGGGGTTGGGCAGGTGGTCGACGCCGCACTCCGCCGCTTGCCCACTCTGGCGACGAGCGACGGGAGAAACCAAAATGCTCAGCGGTCGCAGTGCGGCACGTGCCGTGTGAAATTTCATGAACGCAAAAAATGTGATTCCGTGAATCGAAAAGTGTCCATAATTTATTTGTCAATTGCGTAAATGCTAAATTTCGTAAATCGAGGGATACCTGTATTACGCTTTTTTTTTTTAATAAAAATCCTGACATCCAGTCGGCTGTGACACCGATATCAAAAGGTCCTGTCATTTTAACGAAGGCCACATTAATTCCATTTACAGCATGGAATATAAATGAGATTGCTCTTTGTGTTCCAATTACACATTGTTAAAATGTGAAAGGCTATAAAAAAAGGTTAAAATAACAAGACCGAACTCGCAGAGAGTTTCAAGCCGTTTCTCGAACACGAGATGACAGGAGACAAAAAAGCGATACAGGGGACGACAAAAGAGATGCAGACAATCAGGCGCAAGTGCAGTGACATGAGAGAACAAAGACAAGAAACCGAGAAGTACTGCGATGACAACAAGAGACACAGACAAGAGGCTGAAATGCAGCAATAGAAAGATGTGTGGACGAGGAACATAGACGTAGGAGAGTAGAGAACATACAGATGAGAGATAGAGATGCAGTGGGGATGTGGAGAAGAGACGCAGATGACAGATGTAGCAACAGAAAACAATGAGATCACACCGCCAAATTTCCCGCACCTCCGATTAGCATGGTTGGCTACGTGCGTAGACTTACAAAGCCGAGGTCAAAGAAAGCGACGACAGGAGGGAGATGTAATTCAGAAGAGCGAGATGGCATGGAGACACGATGCAAAGCTGACATTCTCACCACCCCCACCAGACCCCTAAACTGCGCCGACTACCCCACCTCTGCTGCACGTCGAGCAGCGACTACAAAGTGGGGGATTGCCGAGTTGGCCAGTCGAGTTCATCACGTTACACATTTGTTTGTATTAATGACGTGAGCTCAATTAATTATATTTCAAAGCAGTGCAGGGTTGTTTGTAGCGGGGAAGGGTCAGGTCAAGGGCAATCTTAAAGAGCTCGGGGGGGGGGGGGTGATCAGATTTGGACCTGCTGGCAACAATTCGATCAGCCCTGGTAGAAGAGGATCATACTGGCAGAAACACAAATAGATCACGTAGGCAGACAAAGAGACAGGCAGACAGAGAGCCAGCCTGGTTGCCAAGGAGCTGGCAACAGCTGCGTCAAATCCAGGACAGCATCGTTAGCTTCTGGGCTCCAGTCTGGGTGTCAGCCGCCTCTGATCAAACCAGGTTCTTAAGTGCTGTGAATTGGTCTCCTTCGAGTTACCAATGGACTGCACAAAAAGACAACTCGATGAACTGTATGCAAAATAGGGTTATTTTCACGTAGCGACCTTTGGCATCTTTAGCGAAGATCACTACAGTGAGGGAAAAAAGTATTTGATCCCCTGCTAATTTTCTACGTTTGCCCACTGACAAAGAAATGATCAGTCTATAATTTTAATGGTAGGTTTATTTGAACAGTGAGAGACAGAATAACAACAACAAAATCCAGAAAAACGCATGTCAAAAACGTTATAAATTGATTTGCATTTTAATGAGGGAAATAAGTATTTGACCCCCTCTCAATCAGAAAGATTTCTGGCTCGCAGGTGTCTTTTATACAGGTAACGAGCTGAGATTAGGAGCACATTCTTAAAGGGAGTGCTCGTAATCTCAGCTTGTTACCTGTATAAAAGGCACCTGTCCATAGAAACAATCAATCAATCAGATTCCAAACTCTCCACCATGGCCAAGACCAAAGAGCTCTCCAAGGATGTCAGGGACAAGATTGTAGACCTACACAAGGCTGGAATGGGCTACAAGACCATTGCCAAGCAGCTTGGTGAGAAGATGACAACAGTTGGTGCGTTTATTCGCAAATGGTAGAAACACAAAAGAACTGTCAATCTGCCTTGGCCTGGGGCTCCATGCAAGATCTCACCTCGTGGAGTTGCAATGATCATGAGAACGGTGAGGAATCAGCCCAGGACTACACGGGAGGATCTTGTCAATGATCTCAAGGCAGCTGGGACCATAGTCACCAAGAAAACAATTGGTAACACACTACGCCGTGAAGGACTGAAATTCTGCAGCGCCCGCAAGGTCCCCCTGCTCAAGAAAGCACATATACATGCCCGTCTGAAGTTTGCCAATGAACATCTGAATGATTCAGAGGACAACTGGTTGAAAGTGTTGTGGTCAGATGAGACCAAAATGGAGCTCTTTGGCATCAACCTCAACTCGCCGTGTTGGGAGGAGGAATGCTGACTATGACCCCAAGAACACCATCCCCACCGTCAAACATGGAGGTGGCAACATTATGCTTTGGGGGTGTTTTTCTGCTAAGGGGACAGGACAACTTCACCGCATCAAAGGGACGATGGACGGGGCCATGTACCGTCAAATCTTGGGTGAGAACCTCCTTACCTCAGCCAGGGCATTAAAAATGGGTCGTGGATGGATATTCCAGCATGACAATGACCCAAAACACACGGCCAAGGCAACAAAGGAGTGGCTCAAGAAGAAGCACATTAAGGTCCTGGAGTGGCCTAGCAAGTCTCCAGACCTTAATCCCATAGAAAATCTGTGGAGGGAGCTGAAGGTTCGAGTTGCCAAACGTCAGCCTCGAAACCTTAATGACTTGGAGAAGATTTGCAAAGAGGGGTGGGACAAAATCCCTCTTGAGATGTGTGCAAACCTGGTGGCCAACTACAAGAAACGTCTGACCTCTGTGATTGCCAACAAGGGTCTTTCCACCAAGTACTAAGTCATGTTTTGCAGAGGGGTCAAATACTTATTTCCCTCATTAAAATGCAAATCAATTTATAACATTTTGACATGCGTTTTTCTGGATGTTTTTGTTGTTATTCTGTCTCTCACTGTTCAAATAAACCTACCATTAAAATTATAGACTGAAAATGTCTTTGTCAGTGGGCAAACGTACAAAATCAGCATGCACATAATCCTAAAGATAAATACAAAATAAGTATGTTATGATACTGTAGTTATGTTTGGAACAAGGCAAAGAGATCGGTTAAGGAATGAAGGAGTAGGGAAAAGATCAGGTGCCACCAATGCTGCCATCAAAACAAAAAAGCTATCAGGGGTTAACGGGCAGGACAAGTCATGAGAACAACTGACGAGTAACTGGCCGAATCAACTACAGAATGGAGTCCGAGAGAAGAAGGTGAAAGAAGCAAAATAAAAGACAGAAAAAGAGACGGCGAGGTGAAACCAAAGAGTTTGGAGGCCGCCGCTGGATAGCAACTCGGGAGGGGAAGCAATGGCACGGGAGAACCAGGGAGGACGAGACTTGTTGCCCAACAGCGCGAAGACAATAACAGCCGAGAGCGAGGCGTAACCGGCGACAAGAACGAAACGGCTACGCACGGAGACGTGACTGTTGGTGCACACGAGCGAGCTGACGTATTCCACGTAGGCGGAGGCGTCCTCCCCGCGGTAGCACGCCTCGCGCGCCTTCTCCACGGCCTCGTTGATGCGCGGCACGGCGAACGCGCACAGCGACGACGCCGTCGCGGCGCCCGGCGACGCCGCCTCGTCGGCGAAGGCCACGAACAGCGCCTGCTCGCCGGCCGCCCCGGACGCCCCGGACGCGATCTCCGAGCCCAGGCGGCCGAGCGACGCCGCGCGAGCGAGCACGTGCTGCCGCCCGGAGCCCGGCTCGCCGGGCGGGCCGGAGGCGTCGCACGCGAGCGGCACCTCTACGTACGACAGGAAGTTGAGGTCCCGCTTGCAGAAGCGGCCCACGAAGGTGCGCGGGTCACCGCGCGCGAACCGCGGCTCCTTGCGCTGGAACACGAAGTAGGCGAAGTGGCCGGCCTCGAACGCCGCCACGAAGCTGTGGTCGAACTGCGAGTACTCCCCGCGCAGGTAGTACTCGTCGTCGTGGGTGAACGGGTCGCCCACGCCGGGGCCCGCGCCACCCGCCGGCGGCAGGAAGCGGATGGAGAGCGGCTTCAGCTTCTGCCGGCCGCCCGCGGTGCCCACGAAGAGCATGTCGCGCTCGCCGGCGCGCGCCACGAAGCCCACCGCGGCCTCGGCGCCCGACACGACGGCCTGCAGCGAGGTGGGCGCGTCGGCGCGGTACAGCACGCGGCTGACGTTGGCCGCGTCGCGCTCCGAGCAGGTGCCGTGGTGCACGCTGCCGCACGCCACCACGCGGCCCCGCGCCGCGTCCAGCGCCAGCAGAGCGACGGCGTCGTCCGCCTCGCGCACCTCGCACACGTCCGGGAAGGGCGGCAGGCACTCGAGACTGTCGGGCACGGGCCCGGTCACCGCCTCCGCCTTGTCGGCGAGCAGCGCCGTCAGCTGCAGCAGGCGGTTGGTGCCGCCCACGTAGACGTCGCCCGTGTCGGGGCTGTACACGAGGTGAGTGAGCGGGCTGGCCTCGGGGAAGGAGCGCGGCAGCGGCGAGTGCGACGGACGCGCCAGAGCCGCCGGCGGCGGCGGCAGCAGCAGCAGCAGCAGCAGCCGCAGCAGCAGCGCTGACAGCTGCATGGCCCTACGCCTGCAAGGCGGCACACGGAAATGCACGCTCCAATTATGACCGTCGCGCTTCATCACTACGGTAGGACGGTGGCAGTGGTTAACGCACCGATTTCCAGCAACAGCCGGCATCGGTGGCGAGTGATGTGACCTGGCACCCCTCAACTATACCAACCTGCACTGCCCGGGGTGGTGAGAGTCAAACAACCCTACATAACTTTCACGGAATGGGGAGGCCACATCCGGCGGTGGATTGACAAAACGGGCGTCGTATTTTTGTTGTTATCATCGCCGCTGCTATGGCGTTACTTCTACACGCAGTCAAAAGTCAAAGCGTTGGTTTCCTCCTTGAACAACTGGGGGCAGTTGTTCAAGGATCTGAATAATCCTCAGCCACGGTTGGAAACTCCACATTGCTCTCTGCTGGGGAAGAGTCGATGAATGTGACCCCTGCAGTGGCGACTTCTCACAAAGCAGTTACACATCTTATGGACTCCAGAGCGATGAATGGCAGAGTTGACTTTCAACCAGAATGTGAACTTGCAAGCCTTCGAAATGCACCACCCATTGTGACAGTGGGTATCGCGTGCTTATTCGTCCGCGCGAAACATTTACCTGTTAAGTTTGTCTCAGAGGCTAACGGCACAGCCTATCCAGATGCTGAACATGTTTTATACTCTGTTGGAATGCTGAAGTGCTATATATAAAAACAAGGCCGTCTACGCAAACATTCCATTATGCAACTGTTACTAATTACACACGTTGAAAATGAATGAATGTTGAACGGGCAACAGCACAAGAGCTGCTGCGGCCAGGAAGTGGCTGGCATAAATTGACCATCAACCTCCGAACCTGCAGCCGACACTGATGGATGGATGGACGTTGTACAAGTCTAGAGACGTCAGACTCTTTGCAAGCATCTGGGCGCGTTCGATGTCCCCAGCTCGAGTCGCGAGTGGGTATACGCCCCCCCCCCTCCCGCCTTTGTGTGTGTGTCAGTACGTCTGTGCGTGCGTGTACACGGCTGGCGCATGAGCGCGTGCCCGAAGGGAAAGTGGTGGTGCAATGGTCAGTGCACAAACGCACTGCGAATCCGGCAACCCGCATTTGATTTACAACCACGGCAAACATCAGTGGCGAGTGACATCTGAACCTTTCCTGGGCCTCCCCCAGCTCGAGTTAATACGAGCCCCTTGTGCTCTGTGTGGATAGCGGCACGTGGGAGACCGAATCAGAATATTTATTCATCCTGGAGGAATCCAATGAGCGACAAAGCTCTTTTTCACAGATGTCCAGTGGGAGACGAGGACGGGCACACCGTGGCGATTCGGTCACACCGCCCTCGCGTGGACCGTGCCAACTTTAATAGGCGCTCGCTTACAGCACACACACGCTCCAACAGTTCTGTTTAGGCGACAACGGGGATCTCCGTACGTGGCCCGTGCCTGGAGGACGTGGTACGTGCCTGCGCTTGTGCGTGCGCGCGTCTCCCCGTGCGAGTTGTGTGCGTGCGATCCCCCGCGTCTCTGCGCACCGGGGAGGCTGCACCGGGGGGCTGCATCGCGGGCGGGGGGGGGGGGGCTGCTCGAGCTCTGCTCGCCGAGATATAAACACGGGGGGCGATTGTTCTGTGGAGAGAAGGCTTCCGGCCGCGTCTGCACAACGCTTCCTGTGACCCCCCCCCCCCCCCAACTACTCCCCACTCCTCTGGCCCAAACTCACTCACGACGGGACAGCACAGCACAGCAAACCGCGAGCCAGGGACATAGTCTCCTGGCTCCCACTGGATCCACACCTCCCCCCCCACTGCCTCAACCGCGAGCACATGCACACAAAGACGCCCCGTGTAGCCTTAACAGACTGTTGGAGCAAGTGGGGATAGCGAGCAGGACATATGAAGGCCGGCATTGCGCACGAGGGTGGTGTGGCCGTGACCACGCACGGCCGCCTTTGTCTCCCCAGTGGTGATGCTTACGCACCACACCAAGTACCCATTTGAGGCCGAGTAGACCCACCAAGAAGCCCATAAACCGTTTAAATACTCACCACGGATGTTAGCCGCGGCCAGGATTCGAACTCGGACGACTGGGTTCGTAGTGCAGCGCAATAACATCTCACACTTACCCCTCACCAAACACAGACACACGTACGCAGCCCCATTGAGTGCTATCAGCAAGCACCTCCCACAGCTAAACGACCACATCTGGCCCCCATCGCGATGACAAGATGGACATTGGCGGCTGGGGGCCCCGGTGGAATTCGCTCATTACTCGAGCGATAGTTGTGCATGCCGTGTGTGTGTGTGTTTGTGTGTTCGTGCCTTTCAGAGTGCGGGCTTGCGGGAGGCATGCGGGCGTGTTATGCTGCACATGTGCGCTGTATCTACTATACAAACAAACGTGTATGTTATATGCGCCGGAGACATCAGAGAGTTGTGTGTAAAATGTGAGCAGGCTCAAAATAAAATGTTCAACTTGTTTGCCCTCCAACCACCAAATATAGAACTTCAAATAGACAATCATGATAATTATGATTATATCTTAAACCTACACAATACCTGTAAAGATAATGCACCAGATCTCATCAGATCTTGCAAGCAGGTGGGGTGAGCCTCGATAGTTCCTGGATGGGAGACCACGTGCGTAACAGGTGTTATAGGCTACGTGGCTGTATTTTGGACGGCTGAGGGCAGTGTAGCAAAAAATCCATTGTTGTACCGTACTTCTATGGTCCCACACAACCATCCTCCCCCCCCACCGTCACCAATCCGTTGCGACCAGCTTAGTGACGCATAGTCAAACAGCCCCAGTGACTCGCGCAGCATGGTGAGCGCTCATCCAGCACCGGCTCGACTCCGGACAGTGTTCACACGCACGTGGACAAATCTTGCATGTTCAACCGTTAAAAACCACCACTCCGGCTGAAAGTGCTCATTGAATAAACGAACGCCCCAGCAAATTAAGAGGTTTGTCATCTCGCCGCCGGGAAGATTAAAAGGAAAGCCCTGAGGCCGGGCACGGACGGAAGTGAGACGGGGGGGGGGTGGCGACCGTGGGTCTCCCAGGGTCGCCGTCTGCCGCCCATTGTGTGCCCGAGGAAAGCACGAGGCGATAACCCTGGCGTGTGCTCCCAGGTCGTGGGAAACCTGGCGACCACTCTCCGCCCCCCCGCCCCTCCACAGCCCTCCCTGGCTTCTTCCTGCAACCCAAACCCGCCAACCTTGCCAAACCCACCAACGACGCCATTCCCACAAAACATCACCAAATCCTGCCAATGGAGTCAATCCCACCAACCACCCGGCCTCAGCAAACTGCCTGCTGGAAGCAAACACTCGAGCCTAGCTTATTCCACTGCGTCGCTTGTAACCATGACCCCTGGGTCAGGTAAATGTCTCTGTTCAAAATCATTGACAGCAGAGGTGGCTTTATTTTGCAAATGGCCATGATAATAATTCTCACACGTCGTTTATTGCGATATATTGTACTTAAATTATTATTGTGTGGTTTTAGTGCTTTTCTGTAATGTCAGTATGGACAAAGATTACTTATACATTTTTGAACTGCAGTTCACTCAACAAGCTTTCTAATTATGCAACTTCCAATCACTAAGTTGTCAGTTACACAAGAAAAAAAATCATTAAATGAACAGTACTACAAAAATCGAGGCTTACTTTATGTTGAGATGCAGCAAAGCAAGCGTGTTTCATGGGTAATGTGTATATAGCCATCTTTTAGAACTGTAATCATTGTGTGCAATTCCACAACTACAGTAATACATCAAGTTATACCAAAAAAAATATATAGGAACGATGCAACGTGATACAGTATGCATTCGTGTTGAACTTCTTTGCGCACAATCCATAGCCAACCGTGCCAATCGGAGGGGCGAATGGCGTGGTATAAACGGCGTGGTATAGCCATATCCACGGCAACCCGAGCGGGAACCAGCACCAAAACCCGGGCATCCCCACCCGCCACTGCGATGTTCCGCAGACCCATCGAATTCACCGCTCACGTGACGTCCAACGACTGCGACGACAAGCCGGCGGGTTTTTTTTTTCGCTCTCCATCCAAAGTTGTGTATACGTTATCCTACTCCGCTCTACCGAAATTAACCGCCGATAACACCCAACTAGGTCAACCAGTTCCGTTATGTAATGTGTAAAAAAAATGGCTTGTCCATAGTCCGTCTACGCGCTGCAACTTCTCCGTCCAGGCACGAGCCGGTTATTCTTTTTTTTTTAAACCCTTACCACCTTGACGAAGATGCCGAGTTAACGTTCTCAAACTGAAAGATTGAAAGCCTTTATGCCGTCTGTTCGTTCGTTCAGCAGTCATTAACGACAGGGCGATGGGGAGGACACTATATAAAGATGCTCCAATATTAACGAACCCACAGTATATAAATGTCTTGCTATTCAGAATGATAAAAAATCAGCCAATTTGATCAAAGCGTTGCCCGAAACGCTTTGACACAAACCATATCAAGAATAATGATATGGAAATGTACAAACAGATTCATGCACGGACAGCTGCCCGTCAGCTTCAGACTTCTAATTAAATATTTCCAATGGCAAACACGTTGGAAAAGCGATACTTGATCCACATGCGTACGTATGATTTTTCTAACTTTATTTGATCGTGCTTGCACATGAATACCAACGTGGTCACGTACACTTTTTCATCTTAACAAGAGAATTGTTATGCAACCGTGTGTGTGTGTTAAGTTCATGCGTGAATGTCTTGCATCAGGCATGGGTTTGTATGCGTGCAAATCCTGGCAGTTACACCAACACGCTCTCCACCTACGAGTCTATAGGATGTCATAAATATAACTGTTAACGACGCATTGCCTGCTGGGTGGCAAGCAGTCCCCATTGGCACCTCTTTAGTTTAAAAATGGGACAATATGAAATATTTAAACAGATGGACGGCTGCTGCGCGTACACGCGCACTCATTCATACACACACGCACGCGTCCGTACCAACGTGCACGCGCTAGTGTGCGCACGCCATCTGGAAG